TGAATTAATTTCAACAGTAAAATTAAAAAAAATGACTGAAAAATCAACTTTATATTTTATAAAGAGAAGTTTATAAAGAGCTATAAAATAAACAACTGTAGCTTTGTATTACCCAGCTCTGCAGGCAGGGAACTGGAAATACCCTATTACCGTGTTATCCCCTACGTAGCAGGAAGTTGCTCCAAGGTGGATGATGGCTGCAGCTTTCGGACAGCAGTGGGCAAAGGTGTGCACGTGGGCCATCACATCGTGACGCAGCTTCTTCTCCTCCTCTGCTGCCATCCTGAAGTCAATGTTGTCCAGATTTGCTTCCATCTCCCGTATCTGCTCATCAGTGATTGAAAGCCCAAGTGACTGCAAAGGGAAAAGAACTTTCATTGCATTTTCTCTTTACTGACGAACAGAGACAGAAGCTGTTTAAATAATTTACTCCTGTCTGACATCTCCCAAAAGTGTGACAATTTGGTATAATTGAGCTGTAACAGCAAATGCCTTCATTCTAGGGCTCTCCAGCCTTTTCCAATGGGATAGCACAGTGTTCATTCTCAGATGTTCCTCTTGGGCTTCGTGCCTTCCTCAAACACGTAACATTCCTGTAAAAACTACAAAAATGAAAGTACATGGGGAAAAGTGACAAAAGTTTAAACTTCTTTTAATGAAATTTACCTTTTGGGTAAAGAAAAATCCAGTTAACATGTGACTAAATAGCTTATGTCAGGAAAAACTCACTGGACCACAACTAGACCTACACAGTTGTAAACAGGGGGCTTAAAACATATGGAAAGGTGTATATGTTTTATATGTTTGTACCTTTTCAAAAGTCCTGTCGTAGCTCATCTTAGACTGAATATGAAACCTTGTGAAATCAGTTACTTGATCTGGAAGAAGGAGATAAATGCTCCTAGTTCATGTTCAAAACTAATTGTTTTTAAGTCAGCTTGCTGAAAATCTAGCAAAGATATCCAACCACAAAATTATACACTGGTGTAACCCACTAAGGTGACAAAAATGTCTTTTCAAGACACTGAGAAGTTAAAAGTCTCACAAAAACTTGGCATTACTGCCTTTTCCAAATTAAAATACTATTGTCCTGGGCATGAGTGATGAGAAATCACCAACCAGGAGGCTTCCAGGATTCAATGTATTTAAAAACTGTTTCTGTTCAGAATCAAACTGACTGAAAAAATGGTTTGCAGATGTGAAACCTGGAACTGAAGACAACAACAATTGAAGCAGATGTGTCCTCAAGGACTTCATCAGATAATTAGTACCCAAACTTATGCTGCCACAAGCATATACATGCCTGTGGGTGTCCAGCTAAATGGGGAAAAGCACCTGGCCCCAGACTGCTGCCTTTGAGGTGCACCAGTATAGACTGCAACTGCCTAAAAGCACAGACAGTTCAGCAGGCAATACAGGCTTGTAGCAAGATTAAAATCTCATGCCTTGGTCAGACATCTGTGATCCTTTGGGAAAAGCTGACCACAGCAAACAGTCATACAGAGAGGAAAGAAATAACCCCCAAAAAGGGACAACTTGACATAGAACATGTGCAAGGCAGGGTAGTGCCAAGACAAATTATGTTCTCATCTGTCCACAAAAAATGTGTGAGTCTCTTCCCTATAAGCGTTTGCTGATATTGGCAGTACCTCGGGACAAAAATAAACATCCTTCAAACCCATGTACCTAAAAAAACCAAGTAGGAAAACTACATAAGGAAGAACACAAGGTTTTTCCCCAAAGCACCACAGGTCAGTGAAGTCAGTGATGAACTCTCTGGACTGTGCTTTGAGAGTGCCATTCTTCTGAGACTGTCCCAATATTTTGATGTGCCCCTCTAACAGCTATGACTGTTCATCACTTTTCCTGAAGGACAGGGCAGAACAGGCAGATGACATGGCACAGCCACTGCACACAGAATAAAAACACCAAGTTGTTCCTCATATAAAGAACATATGACAGAAAAACAATGAAAATTAAACTGGACAGAAAAAATAGTGGAGGGTTACTAAAGAAAGAAAGAAAACTTTTTTTTTCACATGTGCAAAACATATTGTAAGTCACTTTGATGCTGCAGGATGTCAAAGCTACTTCTATGAAAAGGGAGAGCTCCAAGAAATTTGTACTTGACTTTCAAATACAATTAAGTCAAGCGTTCAAGATAAACAGTGTTAACAGAAAAATCATGATACAAAGGAATTTATGCAAAAAATTAAAATAGTGTTCTGGGATGGGTATAAATGCAGACACCCCAGCTCTTAACCCAAACTTTAAATACTGTCAGTTGGGAAAAGATTAATTTTTCTTACTAATCCCACATTTTGCTAAGACTACTGTTCCTAACTCCTGCTATTGCCTGCTGAAAGGAGCAAAACACTGTATAGACCTTCTGCCAAATTCAGTTTCTACTGAAATACTTCTTCCATTCTTATCTCACATACTCCAAGTGGACCACGTGAAAATTTCACCTATTAAGTAGAGTGAATATTGAAGCCATCTGCCTGGCCCTATACTTTATCTAAAATTTTATCATTAAGTTGCAAGTCTTCTGTCTTACTACTCTCTGCAACTTTAAGAAAACCTATGATTAGACCTTCCTAAATCTGATTTATCGGAAGACAAAAGTAAGTATTGCCAACTGTTCATTTTTATTGTTTGGTTTTTAATGTTTCTGAAAAGATAAGCTATGTAGCTTCAAAAAAGAATGACCCAAGAAGCAACACATGAATGTCTTGCAAGTGAGGATATGTGCTGCAGTAAATACCATAGGTAATTTATTACCTGGTATTTGGGGGGTGTTCTTTTTCGTAGAAATACTATGCATCTTCTATAAAGAACCTAAAGAAACTGCTTGAATGTGTAACTAACTGATCACTGACAGAGACAACAGGTGCTGGAGTAGCTGACTCTTCCTTCTTTTTAGTCCAGAGCTGACATTAGATTACAAACTGCTCTGGAATGAGGAGCCAGATAAAAATAGGAGTCTCCCTCTTCCCACTATGAAAAGAGAGCTCAAGAAGTTTTAAGACCTGTCTCTACTTTCTGGGAATAAAACTCTGGGGCAGCAATGGGAGGCAGAGCAAGGGTCAATAGATGGGGTAGCCCAGAATTCAGGGCTTGGGAATGGAAACCTAGAAGTCCCAAACTGGTTCCTTGAAGCAGATTGCTATTAGCCAACTCACATATTCTATTCTTGATCAGAAGCAAAAGTGATGATTATTTGATAGAATTGATACAACCATGATTAAATTGTCATGCTTTGAACATGCAAAGCTCCTCAAGCATGCATTCATAGTACTGACACTTTCTATGGCAGATGAGATTTGCAGCTTTCTCACATCAGCATCTGAACAGTGACAGAATCAGGCATGTACGACTTTGGAAGCTGACTCCTATTTAACACAGCTGTATAATTGCATCTTCAGACTCTGAAACATCACATTTGGTCCAGCATAGTATTGACAATGTTGCTGTAATGATACTATCCTTGCATGGAGAAGGAACATGGTAATGACCTTGTGCACTGTGTATTCATTCTCCAGCATGGTGCTTCTCTGCCCTTGCATTCCTAGTAATGCATAGACCTAGAGTTTGGATTCTTCTAAAAATCCCAGGCTTTGAAAACAGAAATTGGACTCTCTACAAAACAAACAGGCTCCTATTGAGTCTGAAAGCTAAAGCCATTCTGTCAGAAAGTGGGGTGGCTTTGTGCCTTTTTTTGGGGGGAACACATTACAGCTTTTTCACTGTCAAAAACCTGGTAAGAGTCACAAGGAATCAAGTCAGTGCAACTTAAAAACTGTGTCTCATTTGAGATGTATTAACAGCTGTACATGTATCCCTAAGTAGGACCAAAGTAAAAAGGTTTAGCTTCAAGTGCACATTAAAAAAGTCAATTTCCTATCCTCTGCTAACACAACAGCTTGCAATCATATGGACATACTCTGACTTGCTGCTTCCTAATAGTTTGATTAACAATACACATACCCAATCTTTTGTGGTGTTTATTTTTTTTTTTTTTTTTTTTTGGCACTCAGCCTACCAGAAACATCACAACTACTTGTGAGGTAAATGTACTCCTCACTTTGGCCAAAAGTAAACATATCTCAGAAAAAAAAGGCTATCAACAACAAATGGCCACAGAAGCAGGGGGTGGTCCGGTTGGCACGGACTGACAGCCATCGGATTGAATGGACAGTGGACCTCACCCGTCACACCTCCTGGAAAGCAAACAGCGGAGCGCCCGGGAAGGACACCGCTGTTTGCTCAAAAACAACCCCTCACCGAAGATTGCTTAGCAAAGCTTTTATAAAACCAATTTTACAGTGCAGGCAAAAGTGCAAGGGGGAGGGTAGGAGGCGAGAAGAAATGATTTGCTGAGGGGCGACAGGAGGGACTGTGTACAGGTTGGATAACCCTGAACTCGCAGCGCCCCCACCTCTCGCGCCCCTTTCCTCCCCGGAACGCGCCAAAGGGCGCCTGGAAAGTTACTCTGGTCGGTTTCCCGAGAGTAGCTCCGGGAAGGTGCGGCCGATTCCCAGGCCCTCATCCGCCAGAGCCCTTAAGGGAGTCGGGACGTGAAGACGCCCCGGCACCACGCTCCCCCCCGCCCCGGGCCGCTCTGCCCTCACGCCCGTCCCGCACTTACCTTCTCAGCCTGGGCGAGGTAGAGCCAGAGGCGGCGCCAGGTGCCGAACTTCTTCCTCTCGCTGAAGTTGTAGGCCATCTCGGCGCTGGCGTACCGCGACACCAGCGGGGAGCGGTACCGCGCCATCACGTCCTGCTCCTCTCCGGGGGCCGCCATGGCAGCGGCAGCAGCTGCGGCAGCGGCGCGGGGCCCGCAGGATAAGGGCGGGCAGAGGCCCCGCCCCGCCCCGCCGCCCTCAGCGCGCCCGCCCCGAGCCCGCGGCGGGCCCGGCGCCCCCCCGCGCCCGGAGGCCAACGCGGCCCGAGGCACCCCGGCACTGCCGCGGGACACAAAACGGGCACACAACACCAGCTTTAAATGCTTAGCAGCCAAACACATTTATTAGTATTTTTTTTTTCCAGGAACCCAAAAATAGTTTGTAGTTATAATGTAAGCAACTGAGTTGCACATAATACAATCATATCTTTCAAAAAAACCAACCAAACAAACAAAAAACCAAACAAAAAAAGAAAAACAAAGAAAACAAAAAACCAAAAAAGCTGTTTAAAAGCCCAAAAGAAACCTTCAAAAAACTTATATATAAGTATTACACCATCTCTCAGTTTTAATGAAATGACGACGACTTAATTCTTTATTACTCTTAACTTGTCACACTCCAATAAAACGTCACCCTTTTGTTTGTTTTTTTTTCTTTTTTTTCCTTTTTTTTTCTAAATCCAGCATGAGAAATACAGTACCTGCTATGGCAAAAATACACATAAAATGCAACATTTCAGCTTATTTGTACATTAGTAGAGTTTAAACATTTTATTGGGTTTTTTTTTGTCTTTTTAAGTGAACCAGTGATCTTAAGTACCACTATACTAAAAGTAAAATAAAAATATAGAAAAGGAGGAAAAGGGGGCAGCCAGCCTTACAAGAGCACCTTCTAAAGTGCTGAGTTTCTGTGTCCATGGAAAACCCTTAGGAAGTTCAAACATTTCTGAGAATATGGGATGGAAATTAAGATGAAACCTGGATATGCAAGACATTGCGTCATCTCCTCTACATGCTCCCCATTTGTCCTGTAATTTTCTTTACTGCACACTATAGAAAGAGGGGAGAAACCAGAACTACGGTAGGAGTTTGGTAAAGGAAGCCATTCAAGTATAAGAAAAAAAACCCAAACACTTACAGGTAACTTGCAAATAGCATCAAGATACACACAGCCACTATTTTTATTATTACAATGTCTGCTTCTGGGGGACAGTGTTTCAGGCTAGAGGACTTTAGCTGTACCTTCCTGTTACCTATTTATGTGCAAAGTAGAAAAGCTGCCTTTTCTAATCCAGCCATATTGGACATCAATGATTTTCTATTCAGCCACCCCATCCCTCCATTCCATACGGAGAGAAGAAGGGGGCGTTATTTTACCAAGAACACTAGATGAAATGAATCTGTTTCTCCATTCCTCTTCCAGACACACCCTTGTCCTATTACTTGCTTGCAATGAAGAGAAACTTGCCAAACTCCCAATGCCCACCAGTAGCCAGTTTCCTGAACAGGTAGAAGGCATTTACCTTTGTAAACATAATCCCTTATGTTTGTGGAACTCAAAGCAGCATTTCACACCTCCAGCCGAGCAGTGGAGATGAAATTAGATCAGAACGCTCCCCTGTCACTGCTTTTCCTCCTCCCCTTTCCTCTTCTGCACCCAGAAAGATTACATTTGGTTACTTTTGTTAGGAGGTGGGTGGTTTTTTTGGTTCTTTGAAGAAAATACTTAGCATTTAGTTAAAAGTAAACATTACAGAATTACCATCATCAGATTTATACTGCTGTTTGTTCTGCTTTCTTGATGAGAAAGAAAAAGCACTATGCATCAGATGTTCTGCAGGCTTTAGAGCACACGTGGCAGAAAACCAAGATACCTCTGTGTGTAAATCCCACAGGTGCACTTGCATCACTTCAGCTTCTTTCTCTGCAGAATCACTGTATACACTTCACCTTGATTACTGGCAGAGATGGAGAGGGTGGCGTAGGGCAACAGTGGAGAGATGTTTATAAGGCCATGGGGAGCAACACAGGACAGAGGACCAGGGAGTGTCAGACAGAAAGGTTTCAGGTACAGAAACCATGTTCTGGATATTTCAAACGCCAAATTCCAAGAGGCATGGGCTCATATGCACATCCCTGAGACACACATCCAAGAAAGAAGAAACAGGGACCAAGTGATTAAGAGGGGAGAAAGTAGCAGAGGTTCCCTGACAGCTGTGGGATTTACCCAATGAAGACCTCATGCCCACCACCCTCCCAGAGACATTCTGGGAGAGTTGTAAGGCATATATATGAGCAGCATCCACTATCACTCTGTTCCTACGTTCTATTGGCAGGTGATGGCTTCTGTATATTATGGACAAGAAGAGACACTGCATTTGAAGTGAGACTGGTAACACACTGAAATTAACTCAGGGAAGGACATAGGAAGTTACTCTGCCCTTCATCCCTGGAAGCAGCAGCATAAAGTGTCCAGGTTCTTCATCTTACAGTCCCCTCTCTGGAACTACACACCACCACTTCCCCTTCCTGATGGCAGGAAAAGATGTGTCTACTTGAAAGATGACCTTACCAAAACTGTCATTTAATGGCAGGGAGAAGTACACAAACTTTTTCTGATTTGGTGGTCTGGTGAAAGAAGCAGCAAGCTCAAAGAACTTCAATGTTGAAGCTTACCGAAAAGAACTGGAGACATGTGACCTGTAGAAAAACTGGCATAACTATATAAAGAGAAGAAGATGGAAACAGGCATAAAGACTGAAGAGTATGAGTAACTGAATCTCTATCAACTTCTATCATTTAGGATCTGAGTATCTAATAGATTCAGTAATTTAAAAAATCAAAAGAGTTATCTCCCTCCACACTAGCAAACAATGTAAAAAGAACTAGCGATCTTGCGGTGGAAACCTCATAATACTTCTATCATGCTTTTTTCTTTAAAGCACTTAACAAACATTGCTAGTTGATCCTCACAAAACCCCTGTGAGGTAGGTAAGTATTATTAACAACCCCGCTTTACAGATGAAAAAACAAAGGCAAAGTAGTTAAATGACTTGCCCAAGGCAAGGGAAGAGTAATGGCCAATGTTAAAATTCAGGAGTTTCAGGCTTCTCAAACCTGTGCTCAAAACCACTAGTTCAAATATCTTTTTACAAGGAGATAACAGGTGGAAATAAAAGCCTATCAAGTTTAGAAGAAAAACTAAGATTTAAAAGGTTACATCAGAAGGGAAACTGTACCACGAGGTATTTTTGTGAATGAGTTTAAGCTTCTGGTGTTTTTTTTTTTTTTTTTTGTTTGTTTTTTAAAGGCATTCTGACAGAGTGGAACCCTGATAAGATCACATCTGCAAGGCAGGCACAGATGCAAGAATGATCATCAAGTCTATTACTTATTACAGTACTGTGAATGTCAACAAAATTAAAATTGCTGCATGAAAACACTGAATACAGGCAGGATAATCTCTCAGTTTATGGTATTACACCTAAGATAATGCCAGTACCATGGTTCACCATGGATAAAGGAAAAAGTCAAGTCAAAAGGTCCCTATTATAATGATGGAGAGAGCAGTGAGATCTACATTTTTTCTGAGGAGAGTCTTCCTGGAAGCTCAACAAGCTTCAAGGAATGCACAATGATTACATTTTGGAGATGTGAGGAAGTAAATCCTTTCAAATGACTATTATGATACCACCTTATAATAAAAATAGGATAGTTCCTTTTAAATAGAGGGGATTTGGTATACATATCGGTCTGCTTTCCCTAAAATTTCACATACTGTCAACATTAGTGCTAAGTCACTGGCAGCAGCATCAGACAACAAATCACCAGCAGCTGCTGACGCTGAAAATACACAGTCCTTATAGCTGGGCTTTGATCAGCACTAGGAAGTACCGTCTCCACCATCCTGCCCACAGCTGCTCTGTCACTGTATGAAGAGTACCAGAAACAGCAGCAAAGAAAATGTCTGGGGTAAGGAAGTGTGGATATCAAGGGCTAACCACATTCTAATTCTCTTGGAAGAGCATAAGGGCTGCTGAAATGGAAAACGAGTAGTAAATTAAAACAAAAAAAACCCAAAAAAACAAACAAACAAAAAAAAAACCCAAAAAAAAAAAACCCAAAACCCAGAGCCTATGGCAGTGGGTTTCCTGAGCTTAACAAGGGCCAGAGCATAGGAAGTGGTAAATATTCCCCAGGTAGACCTGGTGTCCCATTCACCCTTTTGGCCCTGGGTTAACACTGTGTGGCTGAATTCACCCTGTGCAAGGCTGAGAGCTGATTTTGTTTTGCAGCCAATGCTGGTTATTCAAATCTCTGCCCAGTTATCCATTGGCCAGCTTCTGACAAAAGAAAGGTTTTTGTCTATTCCTTCTTAATTCAAAGTTATCACTTCCCCACTTCCCCAAACTATAATGGATATGCCATGGACACAGAAACTCCTGAACAGTTTAGCAAAGTTATCTTTGTCCCCTACACCCCCTTTGCAGAATGCATAGTTTACAATTCACTTACAAAATAAAGAAGCAATGCTGACCACATATGGGACCATTTTTTTTTTTTTTGAAAAAAGAACAAACAACCTCTTCTTAAGTTCAGTATCAAAATTCACATTTGCATAATAATACATTTCAAGGCCATTAGAGAGGAATGAGAGCGAAGCAAAGAAAACTGCAGTCTCTCCTCTCTTTGTCTTCCTGAATAGAGCTGAGGGATCCCACTGGAGTTTCTTTTCAGGGTGGGAATTACAAAGCGCTACAACAACAGCTCTTGATCTTGTACACCTCATGTTTTGGGTGGGACAAAGAGGTGAATTATTAGGAAAAAAAACCCAAATGGAAGGAGACACTGCAGATTCCCATGTTTAGCTACAAACAGCTTTGAAGAAACAAAAAATTACTTCAGATTTTTTTCCTTTAAAACACTTCTACCTCACCATTTCAAAAACTTTTTTTTCTTCTTGTGTAATACCCTGTTCATTTAAATGGCAACGTTAAGTGTGCTGGAAGTTAAAGGGTTGAAAAAAAATTCCTGTTTTGCTTATCAGGACACGGGCAGAGAGGGTAAAAGTGTGCCTGCACCCACTATTTAACAGAAGCTACAAAACATCTTCTCTACATGTATAAATTTGTCTCAAACATCACTGTGTTCAAATTCTCCAGTGCTTACAAAAAACCAAAGCCACACACACTCACTCATGCACACAAACATAAAGAGAAGCCACATAATACATATACAAACTCAACCTGCAACGCAGACTAGCCTAAAACTATCAACAGCTTCTGTGCGCATCACATGACATCCCTTCGCACCCCCCACCCCAATCTCTACCACATATGAATACGTATTGTGCAGTGTAGAGACCAGCCAATGATGCTGCTTGTCAAAAGGGACCAGTGGGCTTCAATCTCAATGTCTGACCTCTTGAAAGAATAAATTGACCCTTGTCTCCCCTCCAGCCCAAGCGGTCTCCTCAATTAGACAGTCACTATACTCACAAAGGCACATTCATAAATACCACATTTAACTTACTGCTTGTAAAAACATAGGAGGAAACATTAAGCGCTTATACCCCGACCCATTCCTACTGACCCAGCAAGAAGTATCACAATAACATATCACTTGGTGAGACCTTACTCCACCTTTAGAAGGTACATATTAAAGAAGTCTTCCAACACCTCTTAATTTTTTTTTGCATAAATGAATGCTTTTTTTGTTTGTTTTTGGCTTACATATTTTGGAATACAGCACACTCACTATAAAGCTCTGTTGTAAGGCTACCCCCTAAAGTAAGGCTGTTCTACCTTGGCTTGCATTTTCACTTCATTTTGCTTCTTTTCCACATGTCCCCAAAATAAAACAAAAAAACCCACACAGCGCTGTATACAGAAAGGGTAAGCCAGTTCTGGCAGGGAGACGGAGGGGAAAGAAAGCACATAATATCATAACCAATGTCACTAAAACTGCTATCCTAACAAGCTGTGCAACCTGCTTAACAGAAATTGATGAAGAAAATGATCACTTATGGTTGGTTGTGTTTCATCTGAAACAGGAGGAGCTACCACTTTGTCTCAATTAATAAAAACAAACATAAGAATATGAGGAAGTTAGTTCTGTGTAGGTAACAACACACACTAACAGCCAAGAAGAGGCATTTAGTGCTCAAGGAAACACTGCGTGCCGAACATGGTCTCCTTGTATTGCACACTCCAGTGTCTTCCCCTCTGCCCACCACAGTCAAGAATGCTTGCTGCTAGAATACTTAAATACTTAATGCTAGCTGGCACAATGCATTCTTCCCTTTTTTTGTTATTTTTATTTTTCCCTGGAGTGCTCTGTATTACTTTACAGAAAGGCTGTCAGAATCAAGTAAAAAAACTCCCTCACTACAAAGTTTACAGGAACCCTAACACTGCTGAATGTCACCAGTCCCAACTATCACACAAACAGGGCAAAAATGGCTCTTTTGCAGAGGGCACTTGATTTGCTAGAAGCTTTCTAGGACTCTGGGAGACTGTTAGAGAAAAGCTTTCCTGCATAGCTCAATGAAAAACAATGTGCAGGCAAACTGTTAACACAAACGGATGTTGTCTGCTGCGCGCTACAGATGAAACTGCATCTATCGTGGCCTGACAAGTTTTAAAAGTAGGCTCCAACCAACCAGGAGCTGTGGCGCTTTTTGTAGCACAGATGAAACCTTAAATCACTTTTCATACAAGGATCAGAAGCTATAGTTACTACATCACAAAGTTTGAAGTCACGTAACACCACAAAGTAGAGCGCTCTATTTTTAAACAGGACCCTGACTCAATTTTGATAGCAATGCAGGCAGACCCTTAAAGTCTACTGTAGGCAAAGCTCTGGTTGGTGAGTCACTACAAAATGGACCTGTTTCCTATTATCTACTGCAAGGGAACTTTGGTAAAATTCAGCAATACGGGTATTTACAGTGATGGGACACTTACGCAGAACGTTGTGAAGGACACGGACTAGGCAAGGCTGCTAAAAATCTCCAGTTTGGCTCCTGTCATTTAGTCCAACCAACAGGTCGACTACAGCCTAATGGTTGCTTTGTGGTTTAGGTTTGGATGTGAATTCAGGACAACAGGGAGTACCAACTCTGCCTAAATTGGGCAACTTCACATATTTCTTCCCATTACTGTTACCATCCTTCTGCCACAGGTGGAAGCCAAGTACTGGAGATAAAAGGGAAGAAAGAGTTTCGGTTTTAGATAGCTGTATTTTGATCACAGTGGGAATGACCATATGATCGAACAGTATCAGTCCCTAAAACTGCAAAACAGTGGCAAATAAACAACAGAACTGAAATTATATTGTGTGCAAAATCAGTTTAGACAAACCAACAGATTCTGCATGTTGCTTCAGGTTCAGGACCCAAGTTGCACATCAACAGCATTTGTATATTGTTTTTTTTTTTTAATTAATTTAAACGTAGTTGTCTTGGTATTACTCTCCTGCTCACAAAGCATGCATGCATATTTACAATTAAGAAAGCTGCTTCTGTTAAGGGAACATCTTTGTAAAGAAAAAAACCCTACCTTCTACTCAATCAGGACTATTACCCTGAGATGTTAACCAGCCTCCACAAAACCTGCATTTCAATCCATTTGAGAACCTGGATACTACGGTCACATGATTTACAGCAAAGGCAATATATGCAGCACGCACTGGAAACACAACAGGTCCTCATCTGCTATGTTACCTCTGATCCAGCTCATTTCATTGACCAGGATTTGTCAAATTTGGGTACCTCAGATATACAAACAGTGCTCCTCTTAAAAGTCAACAGGAAAACAATATGCACAAAGTAAGACACTTAAGAGCTAAACATAATAATGAAGCAAAAAACCCAACCTAACCAAAATTTCCCCCAAAAAACTACAGTACTATTTGGATGCACCATTAGGACACAGTGGAAGATGTGGCAGCATTTTTAAGAAGAAAAAAATAGGGCAAAAGTTCTAAGGAATAAATGATTAGAAATTTCATGGTAAAAAAAGAAAAAGAGGCCAACTTAATATAAAATTTTAATTGTTATTTAATCTTTGAGGTGGTTATCCCACCCAGTTTTTTGAAAACAACCTGTTTATATTGCGGAGGTAAAACCATACTTGGCTTAACATTCTTACTCATTACAAAAGCCACTTAATGTGAAGCACAATAAAAAAAATTTTAAGAAAAACCTGACATCCTGATTCTAAAAAAACTCCAAACCAACAAAAACCCCACTCTCAAGACTGCTAGGCAAGTGTCCCAGGTAGAAACATAAAAACACTGGGAAAAGATGGCAAGTATTCCAAAGCGAATGTCAGAAGTCTAAGCACAGGTTTCTCTGAGCTGTACTACACTCTTGTGTTGCTTGCTAGACTCTGTTGTCACTGCTAAGACAAAATCCTCAAATGAAGCAAAGAATTATCCAACAGGTTAAAAACTCTCATCTTGAAAGACACTGTAAGGTAGGGTAAGCAAAGTGGCTGGATTTTTATCTGGAAAGAGACGCCCTTAGTCTATTTCAAGATGTGCTTCCCCAGCCTCTTCTCCCTACCTTGCCAACATGTTTAACAAGATGCTGCCAATGACTCCCTCCTGGGAACAGTTTTGTAAAAGCCCAGAAATACCCTAACATTGATTCCTGCTGACTTTTTGCTGTTTGGAGCTCAAATGGCAGCAGATTTTTTACAACATTAAGCAATAAGTGTCCCCAGCAGTTGAGTCTGGTTAGCACAATTCTCAGACACCACTTGCAACAGTTGGGAGTGCCATGACTAAGCCACACAGTTCTGTCAACTGTAGCTGGAATATAATGTTACTTTGACAATATAGAGAAACTGTCACTGAGGAGACAGTCACTAACACTTACAGAATGCACATTCAGGAAACGAGGAGCAGACTGTTGTACTACAATAGGTTTGGACCCAGCAGACTGCTGAAATTTAAGACTGTCAACCCTTCAGCAGTCAATCACAATCCACTTCCAAGTGAATGCCACATCTGTCAGCTTTTCTGACTAAATGCTATGGTTTCCTCTCTTTTGGGACACTGCTAATTTGGTAAAACACAGCTTCTGGCAAAGCACTCAAATTCTCTCATTTAAAAAACCAATAAAATAAAATAAAATAGAATCCTAAATTTTCTAAGTAAACCCTCCTTCTACTGGCCCACAACAGGATTTTTGAAGCACATTTTTACTACTGATGCATTATTTTCAACAGACTCACATGCACACGCAGCACAACATGAAAACACTGGGCAGCTGCTATGAGAAAGACAGAATTTGGCATCTGATTTATTTTATTAATAATAATAACAGCTTACCTCAACTACTATTAAGTAACTCATTGCACGACTTGCTCACGCAGCATGCTCTTCTTCCCTTAAGAACGGGCACATCTATTTCTGTGAAGTGGCTACACTGCCTCACTTTGCCTCGTCTTCCCTCCCCTCCCCTACTGTAGGGCATGTGGGTGCATGTAACAAGGCACTAGTGCGGTTTTTGTGGTTTGAGCTGAGCCGTTTCAGGCGGAATAAGCCCCTGACCCCTAGAGCTGGGAGGCAGAAGTTGGCCATCCCAACACCGAACTCTTAAGTTCAAGACTGTAAGCCCTGACAGCCAGCAGCAACAGGGTGAACAGAGGAGTTTAACAGCTATTTCCCTCATATAAAATGAAACAGAAAGACTGGGAGGTGGGGTGGATGAAGAAAAGCAAGCAGCAAATCTCCAAGTGGGGAATTAAACTGACCAAGTAGCTGAAAACAGGAAAAGTTGATTTCCAATGTACATTTTTGTGAAGTTTTTCCATATTCTTTTTTTTTGCGTACTGAAAAAGGCAGGTTAATAGAACTACTTCATTACTGAGTAATCTGTCAGCGCTGGTTTTCTTTAGCACTGCTCAGAAGTGGTTCAAAGAAGCACCATCATGTATTTCCTGCTAGTCATCCTAACTGAGGATTCTTTCAGTTAAAACTCTACTGCATTTTAATAACGTTTATACTTTCACTCTGCTTCAAAAAGGTGCTTGGAAGAATATTTTTATTTAGTTTCAATTGAGAGGGAATAGTAGGTTTCCATTCACACACTTCTCTTCTCCATGCAACTGCACACGTCTGCATGAGTAACAACGCACAATAAATGATAACCCTTCTCCCACAAATTGTTTAAGATTGCAATGAATTCCTGTTGCTGATATTGAGAAGCTTTCTTAACGTATCTTAATTTAGAAATTAAAATTCTTGATCCCTCGCTTGACAGTAACATTTGGAGATTTTTTCTTTTTTTCTTTTTCTTTTTATTTTTTTTTTTAGCATTTTTATTTTAAAGTAAAAACTTTCAAACATTTTGAAGATTCAGGAACTTGTAAAAGTTTATCAACAAGAAACAGCCATCTATCTAGGATAAGGTTAAATAAACCATCTTCAAAAAACTGGCTTCCTACCCTAGAATTCCTGAGAATGCTTGCAAATTTAAAGCAGGAAAATAAAATGTTAAAATAAAAACAAAAACACTGTTAAATGCTCCCAGAGTTAGTCTTCATCTAAAATATATATATGCACTTTTTGGTCTTTTTTTTTTTTTGTACATTTTAATTTTTTCCCTTTAAGCTTACAATGGAAGAACAATTTAGCTTTTCTTTTTAAATATTTCAAATCCCTCATTATGTCTTGTAAACAAGAGGGGCTCTAGCACCCGGCTTTCACCGTAGTATCGCAATGAAGTTAACTAGCCCAAAGTGCAGGAAAAGGGACCTCAGGGCAGGTTGGGAGAGAGAAGTGAGGGTGGAACACAGCAATGAACCAGCATGTATAGCAAATCATGTGACAGAACAGATACTGGCTTGCTCAGGCCAAAGGTGCTTCACTAGGAAGTACTGCTGGCACAGGACTTTTAGGAACCTGCTCTGCATGTCCAAGTGTGCTTGGTCTTTGAGCAGAAACGAAGCTGTACAGATGCCTGAACACGAGGGTAGTTACTAGCCAGCTAGCAGGAGCTGAAAGAGAGAATTTTGTTTCTTTGTGCACGGTGGGATAGATGGAGGAGACATGATAGGAAAGTATTTTCCAAAGGGGCCAGAGTATGCTGCATACTCCAGTTTACTAAACAAATACAAACCTACTCATACTTTTTTACCAGATAATGCTTTGCATACAAATCTACAGGCATGTGTATATGCAGCATTTCCCTCAGTCAGTCTTCCTTGTGACATTGGGGCTTACATAGAAAGGGCAAATTAAATTAAACAGCCATGTAATTCCCTAGCCCGTCCCTCCCACCCCCAGCACACAGGCATACACACACACACAGACGCGCGCGTGCACCAGCCTCCCCCACCTATGACTTGCATCTGTTTTTGCTTCTGCCCACCAAACCCATGACATAAATGCATCAGACATGGTCATATCCTTCAATGAAAACGCTGAAGAAACAGACTCCCCTATCTGCCCCGAATCTCCAGTTGATAAAGCACTGCTCCCTCTGAGGGCTGGAATGGACAGGTATGTGCTGGTACAGAAGGTCGGCACTTTGTTAGACAATCTAACACCTGGACAATACTGAATGGAAGTCCCAGCACTTACGGAAAAAGTACCGGCATCTCTCTTCCCTCTTCTCCCAGCCCCACCCCCAACAAAAGGCTTCCTGCTTTGTGTCAAGGGAAGTTCCTTCAAGTCTGATACAACTCTTTTCACAACAACAGGTCTTAAAAGTTTTGTTCCCAGCGCACACATGCACGCACACACTGGCTATCACTGTGGATTATAGGTCACCCCTATCCTGCCCAGAATATTACTACACTGATGCTAAAAAAACCCCAAACCTTTCCTTAAATACAGAAATTAAAAAGCAACAGTACAGAAAAAAGTAAAAACAAAAAACAAAAAGGTGCAATACTTCTTTAAAAAAAAAAGTCTTTGCTAGTTATATATGTCCCTAAGCAAAACCACGTACACAGGAAAAAACACAACACAGAGAAACAAAAGGAAACCTTTGAAGTACACACTGGTTTAAGAACATTCGTAAGTAAACGTTTCTGTCAGTGATGGTCTGGCGCTGTAATGACACCAAGGCCTGGCACAGGTAACGCTCACCATGAAGGACGCAGGAAGGAGTTAGCTGCATGTGCTTTCAGGAGATGAGGCAGGCTGGCCGGCACTTTGCTGACACCACTTAGTTTTTTGTCAGTTTTAGAAGCAGTAAATAAACTAAAAGGCTAATTTGATTGGGCTGGATTTTCAAGCTTTTGCTGTATTCCTCTAGACTGAGTACAGGTGCTCATTTAGGTTTGGGGGAGAAAAGAAACACTCTTTTTTAAAGGTACTGAAGCTTACAAGAGACTGAAAAAGAACATTTGTCTATCTGCACAAAAAATGGCAATGTCTCTTTCCTCCTCTTTTCCCCTTGTTAGAAGAAATAAATGGCTTGCATTATATAACACTCTAGGGTTCAGTCAGTACAAAAACCCCACATGCAAACATAAAGATACTGTTACTCAAAAGACAATATTGTTTCCCCTCTCACCAAATCCTTCGGCTATGGCAGTGTTCTGCTCTACCACCTAGAACAAGGGCTAGGAAGCAACTATCCACTCTGTATGACCTGCAAATTTGAGATAGCACCCTGCTAAAACGAATTAAAAAAAATCTACTGACAAATTTTAATCCAGCCCAACTGGATTCCGCTTCAGCCACAGGGACTCCACCATGCCTGTCTTGCTTTCAGAATCAAGACATGCAGATGGCCAGCCAGCCCGTAGACCATCAGCAATGCAGCGCTTCAAGATTATATATATAGAGAAAAAAATGCACACACACAAACATGTGCACACGCACTCACACAGAAACAAGCACACGTGGGCAGTTACATGTGCCAGAACACACTGGTACTTATCAACCAGCCAATCACAAAGTGTTGGTTTTTTTGTTTTGTTTGTTTTTTCTGTTTTGTTTTTTTTGTGGGTTTTTAATTTTAAATTTTTTTTCTAGGTTTTTTGTTTTTATTTTTGTTTTTAAAGTGAGGCTCCGTCAAGTCTTTCCCTCCCCCCCTTATTCTTTTGAACCCCTCCCCAACCCCAACCCAACATGGTAGACCTAAGGACGGAAACACACCCAGTGCAAACAAAGTTAAAAAGCTATTTTTTCAGTATATATGTTTCTTAGCAACAACTTCCGTATAACATGAAAAAGTGAAAAACTAGAAACTAATTTTTTTAATTTTTTCTGTTTAAATTTAAATGGTATGTGTACTTGCTTCACATTGTCTTTCTAAGTTGGCGTTCACGATTCAAGTATTTCAAGAGTGATATGTTCTCTTTTTGGATTCATATTCCAAACGAAAAAACTGAAGTTATATAAGGGAGGCAACTATGTGCTCAGACAGTCTGTCAATGACCCACCTTTTTTTCTTTCTCCATTTTCTTTTTTCCTCTTATAAATGTATTTATTGCAAGTTGAAAAAAACGAAAAAGGTCAAGTTAGTGCTGCTGCTGTTCCAAAAAAGGTCACGAGGTCAGAGTTGAAAGTTCTAAGTTCAGATTGAATCCGACCCTCCTCCCAGAAGGTCTCCAGGTAGTAAGGGAGCAGGGCTGCCCATTCGGTGTGGATCCTCTACGCTTGGGACCCCCCACAAGCTTGAAGAATAGTTTGGGGGCCCCCACAATGAAGCGCCAGTGAGATCACCCCCACTGCTGCCGCCGCCGCCACCACTGCTCCACTGCCCAAGCCCTGTTGACCCACCAAAGAGATTCAAAGCAGGTCCAACTGGATCTGTCTGGTTCTGTCCTGTCTCCAGGGATTGCCAGCCCGCTGCGGGTGCACTTGGGGTTGCTGCAGGTGTAGGGGGCTGAGCTTGTGCCAAAAAGCGACTAACCTCTTCGTCTGTGGCAAACTCAGCCAGGATGGTAGTGTTTCCCAACACACACCTACAGGGCAAGGTACACATAAGAAAAAGAAATAGTTAGAGCCAAAAGGTAAGGGGGCAAGGGATTCAGAAAGCACAGGAACACCACTAATAGGTTTCCAAAGCAAAGGAGGTATCAGCTACATTGCTACAATGGAATAGGCATGGAAAACTTCATCTTTTGATGAAGTTTTTTGACAGTGAAACTCACTCAAAACAAAAAGAACTTCCATTTTACACAGGGAAAAAAGAAAACAAAAAAAAGGGGAAAAAACCCCCTCCCCAACTCCCTGCCCCAACATTCAGTTGTGCCTGAATAAAATCTTAATTTAAACTAAGGTTCTGAACATTAACACCAAGAGCAATAAAAATGCCTATACCACGTAGGTAAATGCACATTTGCCACCTTTCAAACACCACAGATGAAGAACAGGTTAAAACCTTTGGAATTCAGGAGATTGGTAAAATTCAAAAATTTTCACCGAGTTTAGGGGCTTACACCACCAATCCCACACCCGCAAATATTTTTGTCTCAAAACCTTGCTTACATGTGCAGTGCAGTTTGGGCCTTGGCCGCCTCCTGTTTGGTGTTGTATCGGATGAGGGCGGTGCCCTGGGTCAGGTTCAGATGGAATGTCAGCAGTGGGCCATGCTGCATGCAGATCGTCCTCAAGGTTGACCCATCAATCTGAGGAAGAACAGCCGGGATGAATCAGATGTTTGTAATTATTTCTCCAAACATACTTTAATCCTGACTTCATCACTTTAATTGAAAGATATGCTGCTCTCACAAAGAAAAACATATGAAAGCAGTGGGAAGTAAGCAAAGGTGACAGAAGATGATTTTCAAACAGGAACTGGTATGTCTTGACTTTTCACAGCTACAAGGAGTTTGCTTTAGTATGGAATAAATTAAATTATCTTTCCTGTTCATTTACAGCTTGAGTTCAGTTTTCCTTCTTTCACTGAGTTTCTTACACTGTCACGATCATTAACATGGACAGCTTTTCCAGTAATTATATACAACTTGTACTTCTCACCATCTTCAGTCATCAGAATTTCTACCAAAGGAACCAGGATGTCTTGGTCTGCAGCTCTTTGATTTCAGTTGAATGTAGATAAACCAGTATTTAAAAGGTTTTTCCAAAAATGGAAGTATTTCTACAATTAATTTTTTGAAAATGTCTTTTGGTGCTGCTTTGTCTTTATGGTTTATGAAACAGTGACAGAAAGAGCCAGTGATTTTGCTGCCAAATCCACCAATGTCTATTCCATCTGAACTACAGTTTTCACAGCAGTGTTGCCTATACTCCTTCTGCAGCCTTAGCAGCTTGTTACTTACCTCCAGTAATAGCTGTTCTCCCAGGTGTTCTATACAGAGAGATTCCATTCCTGGTGTGTGCCACAGGAACATATGAATGGGATCCGTATGTGCAAATACTTAAGGAAGTGCTATTTTCTTCCTTCTTTTCCCCCTTATTTTATAATATAGCTTCAAATAAGGGAAAAGGAAGTTGTGGGGTGGCACAAATATGGTCAAGGTTAAAACAAAGAACCTTGAAATGAACATACTGCTCTTTCCAAGCCTAACCATTCTATACAACTGTGAATCCATCTGAACCTTTACAACTTCTCTCTCTACTGTACTGATCTCCATAAAGAGAAAATCCATAATGAGACAGTTTTGATCTGATTCTCTTTCCTTTTAACTTAAATGCCTCCAAAATATTCTTCTTCCACTAAATAATTCCTAACGCATCACTGAAGTATTTTACACAAGCCAGACTTAGAACTGTGCTTTTTCCTCACAACACTTCTTCCTTCATATCAAAGTAAACAGTCTTTTTTACAAAAGACTCGCCAGACCTCAGCTTTTCCTTCCACATCAACCCTTTCTTGTACACTGCAGAAACAAGGTAAATTATCTGGCTGAACAGAGGACTCTCTGTCTAGACCTCAGGGTACTGCTGATAATCATATATGCTGTTCTTACGCCTTAAATACTAATTTGGAATGCTGAAACCAGGATCTCCACAGAATTCATTCTGAATGGCAGCAAGGTTTGAAAATACTTGTAGAAATAACCTAACCAGACTGGTTTTGGCAGGAATGCTGGAAAAATTCAGTGGTTTCACTATGGAAACACTAAAGTGAAAACTGGCAGTTACACACATTTCTTATTGACAACATCCCAAAGAACAGCTATAAACCACTTCACATTACACTTCTAAGAAAACTCTTCTTAACACTAAGAAACACTTCTAATAAAAATCTTTCTGTTCAATTATTTTTTGTAACTCTTAAGAAATGTTTTAACAGTCACATAGCAAAACCTGAACATCTTTAAATTAGCTGAAGAGATTACAATAGGAAAACCAGTTAGACTGCAGCTCAGTTTAGTAGAAAAACATTACATATGCTGAAAAATCTGATTTTGTCAGATTTTATTCAAAAAGAAACAACTGAAGAATTCAAAAATCATTGCTAAAGCAAACAAGTCCCCAGAAACAACCACAGAAAATACCTGTGGAGTGAGATTGTGAAGAACCAGCCAGTAGCTAGGACGAACTGAGCCACCATCACTCCAAGTAGATGCTGCAAATTATAAGACAAAGCAATCAAGACAGATTTGATACAAAGAAAAACCATCTTTCTTTAGTTAAGTCTTTCAGAAAAAGTCAACATTATCAGCCCTGTTAAAACATGAATGTCTAATCTTCAGTCCTGAAAGCAAAACCACACCTTTGCTCACAGTTTACATAAAGATTAATTTTACTAGAGTTTATCTTTGAGGAGTTTCTCACACACAGCAAGCATCTAGTCTTGAAAGACCCTGTGTAGCAGGTATTCTCTTCTGGCAGCTCTCAGCCCTTCTTCACTCATTCCCTGCAGCAGGACCTGTGATTCCACCCCCCACTGCCCCAGTTACTGACAGCAAATTTCCATTCCAAGAAGAAACTCTCTTTTTTCCTATTACCAGACAACTGCAACTTCCTCTCCTCTACACCACTGGTGCTGTAAATCATATACTGCACAGATTTTATCAATGGCACTTCCAGTTGATTTGTTCTCACCAGAACCAAGCCTTGAGTCCTGTGCCCCCCAGCCCCTGACCGATCGGGGTGCTGTGCTGTTCCATGGAGATGATGGTTTGGGGTTGGTCAGGCCAGGAGGTGGGCGGGGCAGCCCTGTAGTGTTCCTTGAGGAAATATGGTTTTTCCACATCTTGTTGGAGAGATGAGTGGGATTGTGTCCTATGGGATCTGGGGACCATGTTGATTTGTAATCACTGAATTTTGCTAGAAGATTAAAGAAATTGTATCTATTAGAGAAACTTGTGAGATTAAGTACCTGCCCTATCACACTAAGTCTTTTGACTACATTTATATTGGAGAGAAGCATGAAACAGGACTATACAATAGTTAATTTATCATACCAAAAAACCTCCATGTTACATGTAAATTAATATTTGTTTATTTTATATATGCTGATTTAAAAAAGGTAATATACCAGGATAATTTATTATAATGTAGCTGATTGCAGTAAGTTACACCATTAATTAGATGAACATCAACTTTTATGTCCACACTACATTTAATCTGAGAATTTCTTAAAAGTTTTGGTACTACTGACCTTTAATGAAATTGAACCTTCACGTAAAAAAAACCTGCAGAGCACTGAAAGGAGTATTCACCATACTTGGTCTACTAAGCTAATGTTGCCTCCTAAAGATGTCCTCCCTACAAGAGCAAAGCTTTCTTAAGAGTCACAAACCTCACACAATGTTGACACAGCAGTACCACATAAAGAAGGCTGCTTTGCTGTGTGATGGTTGGACTTCTAAACACTCTTGATAGTGCATTTTTTTTCTAGAAAGTATTACTAGTAGGCAAGTGCCTATTGGAAGACCTATAGTGGGTATCCTTAACACATTTCAAGAATGCTTTATAAAGAAATGCAATAAAAGAAAAAAATAAAAGTGCTCCCCAAAACACCACTATTAGTCATGAATATTTGCGAGCTCTGCCTAAACCAGTTTTTTAAAAAAGGCAGACAGCAAATTCTGCCACATGATGGACTAAACACTCCAAGTGGAACAGCAATGAATTAGTGCTAAATGAAAAATGCTGTATCTGGGTAAGTTTCAAAGCCTGCATACCTGAAGTGCTATGAACGTTGGTGAAGGAATTGTCAGAGGCACTGTAGGGCCAGGCACCAGGTGAAGGCAGCGAGGTGTTGAGGGAAGAATTCGACCCTATCAAAGAGAAAAGGAGAGAGAAAGAGGAGACCAAGTTTACAGAGTTTCTGTAACACCATTAAACCTCAAGACAGTCATGACTGTACCAATGCTAAGCTTTCAGGTGCTCCCAGCCACAGTGCAAAGGCATGCAGCTTCCTTCTCAGACAAATGTCGCAGATTATTTGTCTGTGATGACCGCAACACTGCAACAATCCCGAGTATCAGAGCGACTTTGATAATCACAGACCAGGTGTTCACTTGTTTTACCTGTGGTGTTGTCCCGCAGAAGTTGGTGGTCAGTATCTACAATGGGAGATGTGGCTGTCCCCCCCAGCACACTTCCAGGGGTCACATAGGGGTCAGATTCAGGGTCAATGTTTTGTATACCTTTCCATGGCACTCCTGGTTGGAACTCTGGGACAGGAGAGAAAAAGGAATTACATGCAATCAGGGAAATATTATTTACTAGAAGTAATTGCTGAAGGTATTTCAGGATGGTAAACAACTGTCTTCTACACTGTTCCTTATGGGCAAAAAAAAGACTACATGCTAGAATCGTAACCTATTTCACAGTTCCTCGCACAGCACTAGCTCTGGTTTCATATCAATACAAGTCTACACTACAAAAAAAGTGATACAAGGGCATCCAGTATCCCTCTAAGCGCTTCTGCTTTGCTACATTCAGTGAGGTTTCAACAGTTTTAACGAATTCCATACAAGATGTGTAATATTAGATCCATACACATACTTTGTGTGCGTGCAGAAGCCTTTCTCCAGCAAAGGCTACCTACCTTAGGAGTTTGGAAACACATTTGACACATCACACTGTATGTACACAAACACTATATACATTACCTATTAATACTAAGGTAAGATGCCTTGTGGTAAAAGTAATGTGTATATACTCATTGACATTCTTCATGCTTCACAATGAGATGGGATATACTTATCATGCTTTAGTTTGAACTACAGCTCCAGGCATGCCATAATTTTAAGACAAGAGGATGAATTATATTAAATATGAACACACAAAGACTCCAATTACTGTAAGAAAGATCAGTAACTTGGTTCCTCCAATAAATAAAGTGCTGTGGTCAGTTCTCGAAGCAGTGGTGCAAAAGTAAAACTGACGAACACAAAAACAAGTAAAGAAACTTCATATATTATGGGACAATCTGTGTGTGAGAAGAGTGCAAAGGTGGCAGATTCATCCCTTGCTGATACAAGTCCAGGATACAGAATACCCAACCCAAATTTCTGAAAAAATTAATAATAGAATATTATTATACAATTAAAGATCCATTATTAAAAGCGAGATCCAAGATACACTCTCTAGAATGAAGCAACATAGGATGAATCTGGCATGGAAGAGTTCATTTCAATCACCTTTGTCATGAAGAATTATAGCCAAGACTATGACTTGTCACAGACAAATACAGAAGAAAATATGATACTACTGGTTCAAATTATTGCCACAACCAGGGCAGTATTAGGTTGTGATAATGCAGATGAGAATCTGAGAGAAGACAAAAGAAATGCCCTACTGGGTCAGAACTACAGTTCATCTGTGTTTTGCCAACAGCACTAGGAGAAATACCATTAAGGGACAGAACACAAACCTGGCCACTATCTGTGGACTACTGGCCTCACACTCTCCCAGTATCCATAGTTGTCCTAACTTAGATGGCAGAAATACCCTCTTATCTACTAGCACCAGCTTGTGAAACTGTTTTTCCATCATTTTATCCAATCACTGTTTCAACTGGCCAGTATCACCTGTCTCAAGAAGCTGTGAAAGCAACACAACCTGAAAGTTCACCACTCCTGATGGAAAAAAAAGCTCCCATCTATTTAAAATTTATATCCTCTTAATTCCAGCATTTGCACCATGGTTCTAGCATTGCAGGAGTCACAGAATTACAATTCTGCATTTATCTCGTTCCCTGCCTTCATGATTTTATAAACATCAGTTACATCTCCCCATCTTTAATAACGCAAACAAAATAATCCAGGTATCAAAACTTTACGAGCAATCAGCAGTGCATCATGGAAGGACTCCACTCAGCTACTACTAAAATACTGCCATCCCCTGACAAGTAGGGCCTCCCTTTGTTAAGGAAGAAGTAATACAGCTCTTGGGTCTACTCAAAATATCTTCTCTGTTCTGAGAGAAAAAATCCATGAACACAAGTTAGAACCTGGAAATTAGAGCTTGTCTGGAGAAAAAAAAAAAAAAAGTATGTCCAACTCTTCTATTTGCAAAGATTCTGAGAAACTGAGACCGAAAATTAAGTGCACAGAAAGCTCTAATCAAAAGGTTAATGAATATACAAACAAGGCTCCAAGGATCAAGGGTATTATTGTTTATGAACACATATACTCATCAATGAAACCCTGGTCTGGAAAAACATTTCCTTGAACTACAGCATACTGAAACATTTTCAAAGTTTCCTTTGGGGCTGATTATCATGCACATTCACCAATGCTTGTTTACAGACATGCTCTTTTACTTCTAGGCAGTAAAGAAGACATGAAATGCATTTCTCCACAGAGATTTGAAAGGTCCTCTCAAAAAGTTTAAAAATAAGATTATTGTGAAAATCATGACAGACACATCCAGGCCAGTTTGCCTGAAGTATGACTGATCTTGAATGGGAAAATTACAGTCTATGTACGACCTAAGTATGCAAGTCTGTGCAACATAACCAAATGACATAGCTCTCACCAATACAGCAAAACTTGCTCTCACCTCCAGCTGTGATATCAGTTTGATTGGGCACCACTTCATTTATCTTTGTGCTGAACAATACTGATCTCTTGAATGGCAGAATTTCTGCAGCAGATGGCATTTAGGAGGAAAATGTGAAAGGTGTAGTCAGGATGAATGCTGAGTGACCACTGTTTTCATTCAAAGGAAAAATGCACCTATTTCAAGAGGTTTTCTCTTGTAAACCCATTTTTGTTAACAACTTTTTTTTCCAGCACTGGGAGGAAGAATTCTATCTCCATGCCAGGAACTGAGAGAGGACCTAATCTACAAGCTTGTAGAGAAAAACATAGAGTGTAAAGGTATTTTATGTCTTCATTCTTCATCAGGGGTGTTGTATTGATAAGGTAGAGCTTGATTTCAGTTTTCCTTGTCAATGAAACCACAAGTTAGACTACAATACAGCTCAAGTGGCAGATGGTCATGGAACAGTAACTTGTCCCAGCAGCCTATGGATAAGAGTGGAACAGCAATAACTGAATAAATGTCACCTCCCAAAACCCAAGATCTGTTACATGAGGGTTGCAATCATAGTCTTGGGCTACTCATAAGAAATGAGGAATGGTACTGAGGCTCTCAGTGAAATTTTATGATCCAAATCACTTACCCTCTCATAGTGGTGAGGCAGTCAGCAACAAAAAAAATGTATTTATCACTGACAATGGGACTACAGATATCACTAGGGAAGCTCTATGGTATCAACAAGGGGCAAAGAGTAGCTATCAAACTTTTAACTTCTGTAACAGTTTTGGCACCAAAAACCTTGCCAAAGCCACTGGCTGCTCCAAAACTTGGAAACATAGCAGAGCTGATCCTCCTGTGTCTATTCCAAGCAGTACTGTATTCCTCAGTATAATACAGGGGAATGGTGACTAAGGAAACAAGTTCAGCAACAATGAGTCTCTGAATGAGGTCTGCTAAAGATTACATTTTAGGAGTTTCTGGCATTATGAACAGGAACTCCAGTCAAAAAAGCTCCACACTTAACAACCAGGCTGACAGAAGTGTAACACAAACATAGCTGTACAGAATGCAGTGAGCAGTATGAAAATCTGTGGATGTGCAGATGTTTTTGAGATAACTAATTCTTTAGCTCTATTAGCTCATCAGAAGATGCTTTCTTGCTGGAGTTAAGACACTGAGGGCTTCACTCGAAAATCTTAAACTACATTTTCTAGATTTCCTGCAGTTGCATCTGTCACATAGATTCCTAACTTTCTGATGCAAGGTCTGTGCTACTGCTTTACCCAAGAGATGTCCTTGGACTTTTACTTCTTTGTGCTTGAGAGGATACACAGTAGAGAGTTTACAGCTAGTACTGTTTTCCTGGAATGCAATTGTCTTCCAGACACGAGAAAAATCACAGCACTCACTATTTGCTGAACAGCATTGGTGATTAAGCTGTACAACTTCAAGGACACCACTCTGTTTAAACGAATGTTTTATATAGAAAATTACGTGTATATTCCAATACATATGTACTTTTCCTAGAGAGTTTTCTAGCAGAAAAATAAACTTCTGACAGTGAAACCAGAAAACTTAAAAAATGAGCACCAGCCTGCCATCCCAAAAGCAAGAAACCTCTGCCCAAGGCACAAGATTCCTGAGCATAACTGAAGGGTTGCAACACTCTTCTACCGTTTATGCGACATGAACGAAAGTGAACCACAACAGTGTGGTGTTCCCACCATCACAAAAAACCTTACTTCACATCTTTTTCTTTCTCATTCCACCCTATCAATAATTTTTACACTGTATCAGTCTAACACAGCACAAATAAGGAATCAGTACAAAAGAAGGGACATGGTGGTGTATATTCTACGACCATATGTTTTCACGAAATTTTCTGTAAATGTAAGAAGATATGAGTTCACCTAACAAAAACCAAAGACTACTCAGGTAATTAAGCAGTTAGCTCATATTCAGCCCAGCATTTTTTACTGGAAATTCAACATTTACGTTCTACTTTAATGTGGAAGAAATTTCAAACCAAGATAGGCCAAGCCACTGAGTATTTTCTTTGTAATTGTTATTTAAGCAAGTATGATGAGGAAAGGTCCAGCACATCTATCTTAAAGTGAGGATACAACCCCTGCCCTTATGTAATACCTGGAGGCCAGCTGGCACTGCTGGATTTACTTCCGATCTTGTTTGTTGGTGGAGATTTGGCAGGTAACCAACTATCACCAGCAGGGCCTGTATGGCTGCTGAGCGGGTCGCCCTGGATTATGTCAAACTGGTTGTAGGGCGATCCTCCGCGAGCCTTTCCAGGGGGCACTATTGCACCTGCAGCATTAAAAACATACATTTACACTCGGGAAATGTTTTACACAAAAATATTTACACAATTTTACACAAAAATATTTAAGATGCATACTGGTGAGACAAGACAGTTTCACCTTAACTATTTCACCTCTGGCAAGATGATCCTACAAGGGCATTCCCAAAATTCCCCCTCTCACCATTTTTGTGCATATTGGCATCTTGTGAAGCCACAGAGGGCAGCCCTTCCATCATAGTCCACTGCTTAAAGCGGGATTCTGTTCCAGCCTCCTTCCCTCCCACCATGCCATAATCCATGCCACTTGAGCCAAAGCCTGTGAAACAAACAAACAAAACAAAACTCAATTGTCATCCTCTGTTTCGTTTTTAACCATCTTTAAATGGAGAGTCATTGTAATCATATGATGGGAAAAAGAAATCAACAAGAGCAAAAGGTATGTTAGAGGGGCATCTTTCAGTAAGTGTGCTGTGTCAGTATGCCATTATATGCTTTCTTCTTAGGTTTGTCTTCTTCCCATGCAATGAAAAATAATGCAATTTGATTCAAAGCTGACACTTGTCATAACCTTTGCTCTAATGCTTATACATAAATTACTCATTTCTGGACCCAGACCTAAGTGACTAACATAATTACCATATTAATAATAGGGAAGCTACAGGCAATGGACCAAACCTACTTCCACAAAGCACTTACCACCTGAACTGTATCCAGGTATCTGCCCTTTGGTCTGTAAATCTGAGAGACCCACATTCAAAGGATTGGGTACCATGCTGTCTAAATGTGGCTTAGGCCCAACAGGGTGGGATGGCGAATGCTTCATGCCAGGCTGCCTCTGCTGCTGCTGCTGGAGGGCACTCACCATACGAGCAATCTGCAAATGAAACAAAGAACTGCTTCATCTATGCTATACTGCAATGCAAATTACAGTAAACATAAAGAAACAGTGAATTAAAGGAGATACAAAAGACCCTGCTCTCCATAAAGTGCAATGTGAAAAGAGTGGATGATGTTACTAAAGCCAGCAACATCTCTAGTGCAGACTGCATTTCCCCAGCAAGCTTCATATTCATACGGTTGACAAAAACAGTGCCACACACCTGTTGCTCCTGCTGTTGCCTCACAGCTTGAGATAACTTTCTCTGGCTCTGTAACAGCTGTTGCTGCTGCTGCTGCTGAAGGAGGAGCTGACAAGCCTACAAGATAAGGGAGGGTGGGAAGAGTGAAAATATTGAGCTCATCAAGTGAAATATAATTGCCAGGAGCTAGTCACTAGCAAACGCTTTGCTCAGAATTTAGGTAAACTGTTTCTCATTCTACTCACTCAAATAAAATGGCAATGAATGCATTAGAAGAATACTAATCCTTCAGTTAAATGTTAAAGTTTCTAATTTAACACTGTGCAACAAAATTACGCATACCTCCTTTATTCCCATCACTATGACTATAAGTCTGAAGAAAACTTCATGAAAAATCAACAACTGCTTTCTGTTGGAAAACATGGCTTGGAGTCATTACAAACACACTGTAATCCACAATAATTACATGGGCCTATTTGGTTTATCTGCTGCCTTCGATCAGGACTTTATTACCCCATAGAGCAAAGAGGGAATACTTGTACAAAATAACATCAGTAGAACAAAACAGAATTAGAATAAGTATAAAAAGAAAACTCTTTCAGCAGACAATTTTCAAACTGTCTTGTCTCACAAGATACAGCTACTTACTAATTGAAACTGGGGAATCTGTGGAAGCTGGCTCAGCATGGCAATCTGTTGCGGAGAAAGCTGGGGGCCCATATTGAAGAGACCAGGATTCAAGCCACTGTTGGGAAACTGTTTGAGCATGGAGGCCGAAACCTGCATGGAAACCAGTTACATATCCTGAATGCACTGCTACGAGGAAAAGATGATGAAGTACAAGTATTTCTGTACAGTACCACATATGACACCAATCTTCAATGGTGTTCTGGGAAGGACATTACAGATTTATTAACACATCACATTTAAACAAGCACAGTATATAAGTTGGGCAGAGTGAATACCTCACTTGATTGACAGTATACAGTATTACTTGTGCAGATGCAGACACACACACAAAGGTTATTCCCCCAATCAATAAGGTGCTAGAGACTCTACTAAATATAAATGCCGATCTATATGCAGCTAACCAGTAATCACAGTACTGCATTATCACATTAAAAATGTACTGCTTGACAAGGGAAAAGAAAGGCATTCAGGCAGTCACTGGAGCAAAGAAACAGCGCCTCACAGAGTTAATCTCTTTGTACATTGAATAAGATACAGTAAAAGACAGGAGTAGGTGGAGAAGAATCCCCCCATTTCTTCCTGCATTATTGGAGAGTTACACAAGTACAATTCAAGAGAATCTCAAGAACTGTTCACCAAGTCCAAAGCAAAAGGTAAACCTGTACATATGGAGAACGTGAGGTCTTAAGATTATGCTCTGCAATATAAATGTAACATGTAGCGCCTTCATCAAACCTCTCTTCTGAGGGGGACAGGAAGCACAGGACAAGACTACTTAAAAAAACGAAGCATCCTGTCACACTTCAAAAACACATTAAGCTTTCACGTTTATTTGGTTTTTTTTAAAAATACTTTGCACAAGCCTATATAAAACATAGGATTCCCAAATTCACTTTTGAGGTTTAAAAATACTGGTAGCAAGCATTTACAATCAACTGCCTTGGAATAAGACAGAATGCTAATGCTTCTGCCCTGAGTTTTAAGTACTTTGACTATGCATTTTAATGTTTTTATCTTATTTAATTTTTCAATTTCTTAACATCAAATTGAGACCAAGACAGGTGTATAAGTAACCTCAATCATGTGCTCTGAAGGCTGTAGCTCCACTTTTACAAGTAATCAGTTGCTATAAATTCCTTACCTGGGGAGAAAGGAATTGGGGAGGCACTTGCGCCCGGATATTGGGGGAAGGATTTAGTGGCTGCACTGGTGTGTGCATGCCCCTCGATTGTGCTGTGCTGTTTCCAAACAAACCATGATTGCCACCCTATAAAATTAAAGCAGTAGTGAGAAGATGAATCTTGTAGGATAATGGATTTCTATGCTAAAAACTACAGATCAGTAACAATGAGCCAAGTTACTGACTTAAACAGCATTCTCTTAGAATTACAGATTCTGTTTGGCTAAAATCAGTAATATCCTACCTGGGTTAAAGCCACTGTACTACATATTTGAGAAGCAGGTTGTTTCTCCTCTAATACCAAAGGGTCATGCTTATCTACTTACTTCAAGACATGACAAAGCTACTGTTTTAATATTTTGCACTTTACATATGGGGAAATGGAAACGTGAATACAAATAACAGACTATAAACTCCATCCATTGGCTTAAAAGTATGGCAAGACTGCATCAACAAGAATTCTGGTCCCTCATTTTAGAGAAGACAGGTACTTTTCCTGAGTAGGTTGCTGAGATATCACTCACAAGGCTATTTTTTTTTCTCTGTAGGCCTTTTATTAACTATTTTAGAATTAAAATTTCCCTTCTGCCATGAAAACTACAAAATTCTGGATTTGGATATTTTCCTTCCCCTTTTCTCCCACTAAATTTGAAGAAAATTTTCAAGTAAGAAAGAGTTGTGGGGGTTTTTTTCAGTGATTTATTTCCTAATGCAAGAATACTTGCTGTTTGTATTTTCTGATTTATAAGCAACTTCTGTAATAAACCCTAATGCATGAACAAGACCCAAGAAAATTTGTGATTATGTTTCATGATTTCAGTGTCTTGAGCAGACTTTTTTTGGTACCATTTTTCAAATAAAGCAAGAAATGCTATCAACAGTCTCCTACACTAACTAAGCTACACTCTCCTGCATCTAAAAGGTGAAGCTCATTCTCCAAAGCATCCTTATGCGCCATGAATTCGTCTTTTCAGTTTCAAGACCCTCAGAATTTCCCATCTCCTCCTGTCTACCAGGGTGTCTTTGACCCTCAGATACCTGGGGTTCTAAAGAGTGTATTTTCCACTCTTCACCCATCACTCCCTATTCTGCCTGTCCATGCCAGCATTATTATACCCAACATAAATCCATCATTATTCCAAACTGAGATGGTGCAGGCCTTCACTAAAACCTCTCCTTCCCTTATATACCAGGATTTCATAAATCCTAACACCATGCATAATACTCCTACCATTAATACTCTGCTATCCTTTTCCTCAAACACAAGTGTCTCCTCCTGCTTCAACACTGGCAGCACTACAGATTGTCTCGTTCACCTGCATCCCCCTCCACCCAAAGTATCTTCTCCTTCAGAAGCAACTCCTACAAATGCAGGAGGACAAACAAAAAACCCCACAAGACAAGAGGTTTTTATTCTGGAAAGAGTCAGCTGGAGTCAACTATATATTAAAATTTTTGAGAGGCCTTGAAACTGCAGTTACACTTTCAGCTCTCTCTGTAACTCCTCTCTATAACAAGAGTTCTGCACACTGAGATCAACAACATGCCTGCAAATTTTGGACTCAATCTGATGTTCAACACTGTGTCACATAGAAACAGAAAGACAACACAAAGAAACACCATCATGTTAGGCATATGACTACATAAACTAGACCAGCTGCAATAATTAGGTACTATTCTTTCATTTCCCAGTATTCCTAAAATATTTTCTTCTAGAATAATGCAGAACATAATAACCAGAAATTCTTTCAAACTGCAGTTAATCACCTAAGTTCTTCCCCATCATTTCTCTATATATAAAAATATTGCTACTTCAAGAATTTTTAAAGGCTACTAAATCAATTTTATTGAACCGTGAGGAAGGGAGAAGTGAACAGGCATCATTCTAAATCACTGCAACTTTTTACAGGCACATTTCTACATACAAGGTCTTTGAGTGGAGTCTGAAAAACTTCCGTGTTGGGTTTGATGAGGCAAATCAACAGCCTCTAACTGGGTTTTAAGCCAGCAATTAGAATGATGGATACAACTAACTTCACGACTTCTGAAAAGCACATCCACCTGCTGTTGCACTGCAATTTAGGAAGAGGCCAACAAAACCAGAGAATGTTCTGATGCTAGAAACAAAAGTGGACTGATTCTCAATGGCCTGAGACAGCTGAAATTACCATTAACAATCTTAATCTATTCAGCAGAAAAACAAATGCAAGCAACCAACTAACCAGGATTAAGCCCAGGTTGCAGCCTTACAACAATGCATCTTACAAGGTGGCCTGCTTACTTGTCTAGCAGCGAAGTTTTGGGGACTGAGCCCTGAGCCGATTGCCCCAAGGCCGACGTTGGATAGTGTGGAACCAGAGGGAGACAGCTTGTAGCTGGGAGAAGGGGAGAAGGGAGAGCAGGGAGCCTCATCCCCAAGGCACCCATCTTGATTGGAGAAAGGCAAAGTCAGCTGAAGCAGCAGTTAGCCAACAGCAGGAGTTGGTTAGTGAAGCAACAGAATGCAAGAGGAGAGAAAGAGGGATGGTGAGTGATTAGGAAGAAACAAAGTTAATTTGTAATAGCAATTACAAGGACAAAACTTCTGATTCAAACGACCATTTGACAATTAAGATTTTGGTCCAAGGATGTTTCTATTTTTAAAAATACATTTTGAATTCTCATGAAATTAGTTTCTGATAGTGGCTATTACCACTAGAGAAGAAAACAAATCTTGAATGAATTCCTAATGTCAGCACACATCTACCAGCATAATTTGTTAGGAAACATATTAGCTTTGCCCATGGTATTTATTAATTATGCCACCAGAGGGAGTTGACAAAACTGCTTTTTGGCTTGTTATACCAAAATGGAGGAGTTAAAAAATTCCTAGACCGTTAACACGCCTTCAGAATTTTTAAACCAAATTGTTTTCCATTTTACATGTGATAAACTGTATCTAAAAAAAACCCGAAACAGCCCTAGAGTATTCTGCATCTATTGGACGCTCTCCCATTCATAATGTGAAGCAATTAGTATTTGATAATAACAGTGAAAGCTTCTGCTTAAAATAGGCAAGAATATGAAAGAAACACTATCATAACATACAACAGATGTCGCAGTGAAACAGATGTCGTACAGAAGCTTACAGTACACGGACATACAGCATAAGGGGTTGTGGAATTTAGAAGGGGTGTTTCCAATAAATGCCAGACATGAATGAAGAAAAAAATTTGGAAGACTGTGAGTACTTATATTTACTTATATCTCAACCAATTTTTATTTACAGTAGATGACTGTAGTTAGTAGCCAAAAGATTCATCATGATGAAACCTGTAACACATTTTATTGCTACCAGTAGTTTACCTTTCTAAGAAAAAAGAAAGGAATTTGTCTACATCAAAACCAGTCTATTCTAGAATAAAAAGCCTCGTTCTCACCAATTTTGTCTATGCACACCTGACATCTGTTCTATACACACATTCCTTCTACCAACAAAACCACCCCACACTTTTTACTACTGAGCTCACTCAGGGTTATTCCATTTTTAGCACCTGTGGAGAACTAGGGTAAAAACTGGGATCTTGAACATAAAGGTCGATATTAATTTATCTAAAGATATTTCTCTCACCTTCTCAAAATAAGGCCCACTATCTGTGGTTCCCATGTCTTTGGAATTAGGTGGACGGAACCCAGATCGATCCTTCCTCATCATGTCATTAAAATCCCCGAGATTCACAGCTCGTTTATCTACCTCAAACTTCTTATCTGGGAGACCACCTGTGAAAAAGAAAAAAAAAAAAAAAAAAAAAAAGAAATTAATGCAAATAATCTCTACCATGTGTGTCATGACAGCAGGTTCATACCCAAAGAAATAAACTTTAAGATCAGAGTATTAACTACATCTATCTTACAATTTAGCACAGCTACAGTTGGTATTAGAAGTGTTGAAAAATATATGTAGGAAGTTTCATTTAACACTGAACATGCCAATTTACTTCATAGAGTTTACTGTGAAGTATTTATCACAATTTATGTAGAGATATAAACATAAACATTTCAACTAATTATATTAATTAATACCTAATTCTCTATGTCTCCCCAAAATGTGCACTGTAATTTTTTGAGATTTAGTATGTAGAAAGACCACTATTTAAGTTCTCCATGTAGTCTGCTTAGCTTCTGCTGGGTTTGACACTGAGAAATTATTTGAGATAACTTGAAAACTTTGATTACATGCACATAATTTGGTCAAGATTGTCCTACAGTCACATTAACTTGATTCTTTAACACAAGACATCAACTGGTATATTTTAACTTCAGATAGAGAACCAATGTCCCTCAGCCTGTACACAATAACACAACCAGTAACAGACACTTCTCAATCAGCCTCTAAAGTCTCCTGCTATTGTTTAGTCAGAACCTGGTGAAATATCAGATGTCAATAGCAGATGACCAAATCAAACATACATGGTGAATAAGACATCGACTTTCTCTAAAAGCTTTATCAACAGCCAAAGAGCTGACTGGAAGAAGTTTTCCACTTTACACACCAAACTGTTGCCAAGGAACAATCTTTTTGGTCAGATGTGACACCTGTAAGCTATCAGATGCATATTGCTATGTTGAAGTAGATGGAAAACATGTTTGTTTTAAAATACGGATGTGATAGAAATGAGCTTTACTGGTATTTTTAGTTTTAAAGAATACTGTTCAGTTAGTAGCACAGATGGTCTTTCCAAGAATCATTTAAAAAACATGTCAGCACACTTAACAAGAAAATGTGTGAGTTTTCCAAAGAAATTGGTGATAGATAACCTACCCTACCATTGACAATACACTGAACCTTTATCAGAGCAGACAGCTAACCACTTTAACACCTTCAAGACAGCATTCTTCAAAAAAGCTTCTCAAATCCAGCTTCTCTTCCTAATGTCCAATCTCAATCTATTAATATTCACATCAATGCTAGTGCCAAGAATTTAAGAAACTGACCACTAATTGTGTGGGGTTTTTTTTAACCGCACAGTTTTCAAAGCTGATCCAGCTTCATCCTCTCAGATGCCTTCAACATCATTTATCACAAGATAACTGACAACTCACCTACATATCTTAGCTTGTAACTGGAGTCATACTGACCTGGATGAGCTTGTGGTTTTCTGATTCCTTTTCTAACATATCCTGAAAGCTACAACTGGCTTTACAAAAGCACTCACAAAGTGTCACAAACAGCTCAGTGCTGTCAGTATCTACATTATACCACTGCACACAATGCCAGCAATGTGCTACTAAAAGGCTCATGTGCTTAAATTCCACACAGGAAGCCCTGGCCATCAGTTGCTTGAAAAGAAACTGAAAGCGAGGCATAGTTGCATCACTGTCTGAAATGAAACTGGGTCAATGCCAACACAAGATGACTAAGCCACAGAAACACCCTTCCATCTCTTGGTTATCCTGATGACCCAATCAGCTCCTCAAACATTACTGAATGATGCCTTGTAAAATACACAAGAGCATTAAAAGAGCACCTCTGAAGGCTTGAAGCACAGATTTGCATGTCACTTAGTGCTGAGGCAGCTGCTTAAACTTCAGCATAAACAAGGCCTACAGAGAAATTATTGCATTCCTTTATCCCATTCACAGAAAATTCTAATGCAACTTTGAAACATGTTGTGCGAGTCTTGTCTTTTGAACTTGTCAACTAAAGCAAAAAATAATGGAGAGGGCTAAATAATAGCCTTACCTTATGTAGCACATGGCAACTAACAAAATGTGAAAAGTTTGAATTACCCTCTACAGTAGGCAAAAACACTTGTGTATGAATAAATATGAAGCCCTGAATTCTCTACATGCAGACACATAGAACTAGTTAAAAGTTATTCCATCTTCATAAAAAAAGACCCTATCATTTCTTGGATTTTTCCCACTATTAAGAGTTGAGAAAAACACAGTAAAAAATGCAAAATCAAACCCGGACTTGGAAGAAGATGTTCACTCCCTAGGGTGGGAAAAAACTTATAGTAAGTACATCTTCCCCATCACATGCACAGAGCTTAAAGAAAAAGAAGAAAAATAAATCTGAACTCAATGCAGAATTATCTAATATGATCCTGCACTGGGAAATGGAAGATACAAACAGCCGCTGAGCAAAGCTACCCCAAACATTTGCCAAAAAGAGACTCAACATGGTGAAAATAGATACAACCAGTGAGGTAACCCAAATGGAGAAAGCCATTTGAAACATTTTCTGCTTAACAACAAAAACATTTTGAAGATACTGATCTTATACCTTTAGCATAAATTTACATCATCCAAGCCTACAGAGCAACAACATGCACTTAGATATTGAGGTATTTCATCTGAATGCTACATAAGTTACAGCTTTGTAACATATAAACAATAACCAGCTGCACAAATTACATTTGTAATGTAATTTAGAAAGAGAATTTTTTAATTAATTTCTCAGTATTTACAGGTGATTCGAGAATTCTCTGATCTGCAGGTTTTAACTAATGTATTTAAAAACAGACAAAGGCAACTGTCAAAACAGGAAAAGAAAATACAAAATATTAAGTGGTTCTGACAAGCTACTTGACTGTAGCAAGCTTTATACCTCAGAACTTACAGAATAGAAGTTATTTCAATGGGGAAAAGAAAAGTTGTATCCTACTTTCAAAGTAGACAAGCTATCCATTAAAGAGATTTGACAGAAGAAGAAAAGAAGCACATCTGCCTCAGACAAGTTATTGATCCATCTCTTTTCTATCTTGGTCAGTAAATAAAAGTATATCCATTAAAGAGATTTGACAGAAGAAGAAAAGAAGTACACCCGCCTCAGACATGTTATTGATCCATCTCTTTTCTATCTTGGTCAGTAAATAAAAGTATTACTCTAGCACTTGAAATAAAGGGAACACGCTTTTAAAACAAGGAGACTGAGACCAACGTAGTAAGAATTACTGCGCATGATAATCAGAGCCAAGGTGCTCCAAACATACCAAAGGCAAAGTTTTCTTTGACATACGTGGTCTCTAAGCAGATTTAACTCTGTGCATTTATCCATAAACTAGGCAAACATCATACTGGCAGTTATCTGTCAGCAAAACATGCTATGTTGTAATCTTGAATGAAAACCAGTTGAAGAACAAGCCTACCTCATTAAGTCCAACTGTTAAAGTTTAGAAGTAGACCTGGGCTGAGCAAAACAGCTTATAGCTTTCCAAATGCCATTTCACAAACAAATGCCATAAGCAACAAGAGCAAAACCACTAAATACGGAAGTAACAGAAAAATCTGTGTAGATTTGTTACATTCTCAGTCTTTGAAACAGAATACAAGCCATAATAAATGGCCCTACCCAAGATCAAGGGATGCCACCATTAATGGGCACGCTAAATTTCAAGAAGCACAACATATCAAGGTAAAAGATGCAGCCTTTCTGCACCATTTCACAGGATATTCTGAGCAGCAGTCACCTCAGAAGCTCTGATGGTCTTAGATTCCCTGATAGTTCCAAAGTATCCTTAATTTGAGATAAGAAGCTAAGAGAGCTATAAGCAATATAATCCAGGCTACCATCCTCTTTGTTTGTATATGCTTAGATCTGTTTTTTACCAGCAGCATCTGAAGGCAGGTGAGAACTGAACACCTGTGATGGTGATTGATCTCCATCTAGAAATTCTTTAGAGAAGCATGATACAGAGCCTGAATTCTAGGGAGGACGCATGAGGCCAAACTGGAGAAATCAAAAAATTGTTACTTTTCAGAAAACTGTATCATACCATATAAATAAACATTCTTCTCATCTCTTACTGAGATCCTTAACTACTTCAGAGGAAGACAGCAATTTTGGGAAAAATGAACAACTGAATCCTGTATGAATTGTGATAGAAATTAAAGAATGCAATGGCTTCTAAGCTGAGAGACACTGCATCTGTCTGGATTGTATTAGAATAACAAATCCACACCAGGTATTAGATGCAAGTAAGTCTTGACTACCATAGTTCTACTTTTGGTACCACACAGCCATGATGCTAAAGCTGGGTAGCAATTGTGGTGAAGCTATCCAGAACATAAAATCTAATTCTACTGAAAAGTAATTTGTAATAACAGAAGGCATGCAACTGAAGAAATCAATGATAGAAGGTAATTTTTTCCCCTCACACCACCTCCATGAAGCTGCAATAAATGGGATGTCTTACTGGCAGGAGGGAAAACAGTACTCTACCACCAAATGAAAAAGATTTTCACTTTGTTGAAACGGTAACAATGAATACAACCTTAAAAGATTAAAACAGTCTGCCCCAAGTTACAGGTATACATCCCAATCTTGCACACCAGAGTCAAAGCTTACAGACAAGACGGAAGATGCTTTTTACTCCATCCTTATATTGTGAGGAGTGCTAAAACTAAGAATCAAACCCTTCCAGAAGTATAGCATGTTATCCCCACAAAAACACTACAAGTGATGTCACATTTCAAATGTATTGCAATTAAAATATACGCACCTACAGACAAGTCCATCTTACTGCCTGGAATGTCATCAGTTTGACTCTGCGGGGGGAGAAAAAAAACCACAATTCAGTTCTGAGTTCTATTCAATGCTGAGAAATATTTCAGAAAGGTGGAATATAGGAAGAGCATGCTTGTGCTAAAGAAGTTTTACTTTAAACTAAAACTGAACACAAGGGTTTCTGATATCACCCCAGACACACCTTGCCTCAACCCCCTAACGCTGCACGTGGCAAGTTTACCCGTGTGAAACCAGACACACGAATGCAGCGAGGGAGGAAGACGGACAGAGAGCTGCTCCATAAATGACACTCTGGCCTTATGTTCCAGTGGCTGAGTGACAAAACACTGAAAATAGTGGCCAAAATGATAGCTCATCCTCATGAACTGTTGTGCCATCAAATCTTGAAATGTACTGCCACTGGATTCTTCAGTTGGCATCTGGGATGTTCCCATAGCTTTCAGAAGCATCTACTGTCCAGCAAACTGAATTAGAACTTGAGAGCCAAAAGACATTGCAAACTAATCCTGAGCATGTCAGTGTCAGCTTGTGCAGCCTTAGACTTCTCACACAAACTCAGTATTATTTCTGCTAGCCAGTATTACATAATATTCCTGCTTCACAAAATGACAACTGGCACAATATTCTGCAAAATATTTTACAAGTTAGCTTGTCAAAAAATCCTGAAAAAAATGATATAGAATTATTTTTAAAATACTTCCCTACACTCTTTTTCTAAATGATGTGATATTTATTTTTTCATTTTACCAAACAATCTTTACTTATGGATTCATAATGAGCCCTTTTTTTTTTTCATAAAAAGACACTGCTGTACTTCAAACATAAATTCAGCCAAGACAGACACAGAGCTGTAAATCTCCTTTTCTGATAGATGGCTGAGATTCAGAATGAATACCGTGGACTTATCACAGATGTCTGACGCTACAGGCAGGAGACTATCTTGAATGCTCTAAACAGCATGTTATGAAAATAAAATTAAAAAGCCCAAAACCAAAGCAACAAAAAAAACCCCACCCCACACTAAAAAGCAACAATCCTCCTGACCCAAAACCAAACAAAATAACAAAACAAACATCTTCCTCCCAAATCTATTACTTCTAAGGAAACTGCAACCTCAGAGCAGGAGCTCTTATAAAATAACTTTAGGAATCAAAGTAGATTTAGGGTTTTTCTGAGAAGCCATTCTAAGACAGCTACTACACGTATGATAATCAACATCCCAGCATAGCAGATGCAAATAACTGTGAAACAGTTGATATTTAGACTTATTTAAAGCTTACAGATCTTTCAGAAAGTTGCACTTTCTTTTAAAAAAAAATTACTTACTAGCAAGCCCATATTTGAAAACTGTTTGGATAAAGGGTTCATCCACGAATCACTATTTCCTCCTTTTAATGCGCACTGGAAAAAAAAAAGGAGAAAAATATTTTTAAGAAACTTTTTGATTCCTTAAATTCTTCTTTATCTTTGAGATGTGCATATTTAAAATGGAAATTTGGTACCAGATAAATTAATCTCCTGAAAAAACAACTCTAAGTATTTCCATGTTTGGAAACATTTACCAAACACTGTGTCTTGTACAATTGCTTACTGTTAGGTATTCCAAACTGGTTGAACATTGTCATGTAGAATGTTTATCACACCTTCAGTTTCATTCTGCAATCTGGAAAGCTTTGTGAACATTGTTTATTTTATCTTCTGTTACAGTTTAATACATTGTTCAATCCAGTGCATTCAGAGGCAGATTTCTCTCTTTCTTCCCTTTAGCATGGTGTCTCTTGCACAGTGCCTTAGTGTAATTTAGAGATTACCAACACCAATACTAACACAACATTGAAAAGTTTTCAGTTGTTTTGGTGGTTCAAATAAAAAAAGCTTTAAGTGAGAAAAAAAGTCCCAGAGAATAATTTCTGCAAAACATGAAAAGTGAAACTCCATAACATATCACAATAGTATTTCCATGTCTTAAGAAACTGCTCTGCCTTGCCTTTTGAGTCTGCCGTACCCACTTCATGAGAAGCAGACACAGCACAGTCCTTCTAGTATTAATACAATAACAAGTGTTACTGTACTAAAGAATGTCAATGCAAACAAACCTTAAAAAGAAATTTACTCAGGACTACAGCCAAGCTCCTGCTCCTGTTTGAGGCCAAATGTCAACAACAACAAACATAAGTCAGACATAATCCAACAGTTGTTAGAAATAAGAAGCGCATGTGCCAAAGGGACTGTGGAACACAAACTTCAGCAGGCTATGCAAGAACAGCAGCAGCAGCCTAACAAAGATGTGTCAGCAAAGAGAAGAGAAATAGCCTTGGGATACTTATTTTCATTTAGTAATTGCTGTGCAGCTTACAAACCAAAAGAATCTGACACCTACTGGAAGATTTATTAGTCATAACAGGTGTGATATATTAAAGCAAATCCAAAAACCTCCCATTTTTTTTACACTAGTTTAAGAGGCACCTTGCTGTAACTCTGCAAAATCTTATTAAAAAATAACTACATAATGCTCTAACGTATCAGTCAGACTGTTTTCAGACAACACAGTAGTAATGAATCATTCAAGCATTTTACCTTCATTTGTGTTTTCTTTCCTCCTTGTCCCCAGCTTGTTGAGTTGTGGGAGGAACTGCTTCCCTGAGAGCCTGCTGTGTTCCAGACTCCTCCCTCCTCCTCCTCTTCCCAGCTGGAATGACGTGTTCCTGTTACTGGCCCATCACTCTCTCCCCAGCCATCTTGCATAGATTTAGAACCTTTACAAAAAAAAAAAAAAAAAAGCTCAAAAGCAGTCTACAATACCATGCAGCTGGTGACATGACACTGCAACATTGGCTGAGATCATCAGAATCACAAAGGAACTAAAAAAAAAAATTCAAAAACGTGTCTTCACTCTAACAGCTGTAAAAATTTGTGCAGGAATTCCAAAACTCAAGAGATTTGGTGGCATGTTCACATGTCATGTTGTGCAACTATTTTAAAGAAATGTCAAACCTTTAAAGATATAATAGCAATAGGGACCTCTTATACAGTACAGCTGCATTTAAAAGTCAACCTACTATTTTTGAATGCAAATGAAAGCCTTCAAAGCACACATAAAAACCAGGGATGCTGAAGACCCTGGTTCAGGTGGTTTATCAATTATCTCCTCTCTCACTTCAAAACCTTAATACTCCCCTTGCCCTACACTCTTCCACAAAATTAGAGAAACAACTTTTAGGAATAACAACTAAGTAGAATCTGAAAGCAAGGACCTGACATTGTCCTCTGGTACAAACAATACCAAAAGTAGTTCAATACAAAAAAACCCAAACAAACAAACAAAAAACCACAAACAAACAAAAAACTAAAACAAAAACCAAAAACAAAACCAAGAAACAAACAAACAAAAACAAAAAACCCCAAACCAACCAAAAAACCAAAAAAAACCCAAAAAACCCAAACCATTCTCTACTACAAATTCTTTTCCTAACAATGTTACTAAAGAGACTTACTAGCAGAGCTGTTTAAGTACATCAAAAAGCTACCACCTCTTTACTGTACCAGTTCAGACTTCTCCCTGTGGGCTTCTTTTCTTGCTTTTACCCTCTAGCACGTCATGCAACTTGGAATTCTAACCTTTACTGACATGTCATCAAGAGCCTAAATCTTCAACCTATCCACTCTCCAACTGTTCTTCCTGCTCCAACTCTTCATTCTGAACATTTATTCTCGTATTTGTCTATTTAGTATTTACCTACCGTAAGAAAGATTTCCACTATCATCATTATCTCCTTTGTAATAATTAATTCTTTATTTGTCTTGGGTTTGAGTACAGAAATCAGGGATAAGGATATTAGCATACATAGCAGAAAGTCGGAATATAAAAAAAGTCAGGAATTGCAATTGGTCTACCATGGGGATCTCTACCTTGACTGTAATGAAAATAAGTACATCAGCATTTTATGGCGTTTTAAGAGATACCTTAAAATGCATCATAAATAAACACTCAGATACTTCAGAGGAAACAGCTTTTTAAAGTCTGTTCAACTGGGTATTAAAACTCAGGGCTGCTTATGAAACATACTGGTCCAAGTGCAAAAAGTCTACCTCTTGGCCCTTTAATCATGCTACTTACACAGAAAAGGCTATATTAAAGTATTATGACTGCGGAGTCAAGAACACAATCTGGAAATTATATACTGGGTAGTCCCTGCAGCTTTCATTTATTTCTAGTTACAGTGCTTAAATATATACTATGCTACTACATGACCAGAGATTATTCTTCTGCACTGACAGCCCTCTACGACTCTTGAACATCAATCTGGACAGTGATGTAAAGATGACTTGTTTGTATGACACCAGCTTAATTTTTTGCGTTTGTTGAGTAAGGAGATATCAAGAGCTATAGAACACAAATGAAGTTTGAAGGATAAAAAAAAAAAAGTGTTACAGAAAACTGAGTTTGTTCCTATTTCCTCTAGAATATTCTTATGCAATACTGCCACAACTACATAAATGTACCTTTTTAACCGGTGGATACTGATGTGTGCTTCCTTCTTTGGCTCCAAACTGATTTTTTCCCTTTTCTGATCACAGCTAGTCTGTATCCTGTCTCTAGATTTTGCTCTAGATCTGGGAACAGCTCACATACAGAACAGTGCATGTAGGTTGCCGTTCTTTGGTTATGGCACACATACAGACCAGTCACAGTAAGCGAGTGACCACGTATAGTCTTTAAAGACTGTATTAAACATTAACCAATCAAGAGAATTTTCAATGGATCAGTTTCAGAAGTTCTTATTTTGGTCATACTTAGGTATCATTTTATAGATAAAAGAAGATAGCCATCTAAAATCAACTTAGCATCCTCAAAATGCCAAGTGTTTGTGGCAGGCATGGGAAGCCTGACATCCATGAAAGCCTTCTGTAACAACAACACTAAGGAAGCAAAGCTTTTTTGTTTCAGAAATGGCCAAATTATTTAATTGGGATGGGAGGAATGGAGAATGACCCAACAGCAAACTATCTACACAGCACTTCATTTCAAACAATTATGTGTTGCAAAAGCAACTTCTGGTCTGGAAACAATTTTACAGTGGGCATCGTCAAATCAAGTTCAGTAATGCTTGCGCATCATCAGTAGTTCCTACAGGAAACTTAACATCCAAATATTACTGGTTCTGGTAATAACATTGCTTTTGTTTGTTGTTTTTTCCTTAAAAATAGTGAAATAAAAATTATACAAACAAATTATATAATCAAGAATAATACCCACAAGAACTCTTAATATAGCAAAATTTTAGCTTTGAAGTAATTTTTTAAAATATTTAAACATCTCATTCATTAAAGACACTGCAGCACACATTTAGAGTCTACTACAAAGTGCAGTTCTTAAGAGTGACAGTTTTTCTCACTTATACAATTTTAAAAAATCCATTCAAAGATAAGTTGCATTATCAAAGCACAGGTTATGATATAATGGCCTCCACAGTGAAATTTGTCAGTACTGTGCATGCCTTTTCCTGATATGATCAGAAAAGGTGACTTACCATGTAACAAGTACGTAGCCAGAGAAAAAGAGAAAAATATATATTTCCTGACTTTCTAGAATCAGAGCTGCTCATTTAATTGCTTAGATAGGAAATTTTTTACTACCTTAAAAGACAAAGTCTCAGTCATTTACAAACACTTAATGCTCATTCACCAAAATCCTATAAAAACATTAAACACTGCTTTTAGGCCTCCAATAACAATTCCTCCACAGGTGACCTACGTCAAAAAGTCAAACACAAAAATCTCCAAGGCAATTACAAAGAAACTGGTATCTGGCCTATACTCACTAGATTTCATGGCATTTGGGGCGTTGGAAGGTGCATTCCCCCAGCCTGTAGTCGATGCTCCTGTATCATCTACTTCACCCCACCCGGGACTGGTTTCATTTGGCTCACCCCAGGCGGACGTACCATTATCTGGAGCAGGTGGAGTGCTTTTGCTCCAGACTGCACAAAGGAGAAAGAGGTTTCATTACAGACCATTTAGGCAATGAAATATTTACCGCAGCGCAGCACCGCATCATTAATTTACTGCTTCGTTCTTCTTGTTGAGAACTTGAGGTTCTCAGCAGTGTGGGTGCAACAAAATTGACAATCATTCACAACTAATTTAGAGTGGGCACTGACCTCCAGGGATGAAAAGGAAGAGAATGCTATGATGAGTAATACTCTTTTCCCAGATTAAACATGAACCCCACATAGAATACCGTCCTCCTGTCTGCGAACTTCTATGACTAATTACAAGCATCTAACTTAGGGTTTTATATACTGAATATAGGACATATTTGCAGTACATATTAAATCAAGATAGAATTCTTTAAAGTATCTTTGAGTCAGAGGAAAAGATTACATAACAATAATTTCTTAATACATTTCCAGGCTATGTAATTTTTTTCTTGTCCTTATTCCAAAGAAGAAAATATTTCTCCAAGTATTATCATACAGCAAAGCAAGCTTGAGTAGAAAACCTGTCACAGATGTACTAAATTTCAAGTGTTAACTGAGTGTTTCAAAGCAAAAGGTTTCTGACTAAAGGTAAGTAAAGATTTTCTCCCCATTTCTCTAATAATTAAATATAAAAAATGCTGTTCAGTCCTGAAAAAGGAAAGCTTAGGAGAGACCTTACTGCTCTCTACAAATACATGAAAGCAGGCTGTAGCCACGCTGGGAGGAGTCTCTTTTCCCAAGTAACAAGAAACAGGACAAGAGGAAATGGCCTGAAGTTGCACCAGGGCAGGTTTCAAATGGATAGTAGGAAAAACTTTTCACCAAAACCATTGTCCAGTACTGGAACAGGCTGCCCAGGGAAGTCGTTGAGTCACCATCCCTGGAGATATTTATAAGACCTGCAGATTTTGCACTGAAGGAACATGGTTTAGTCATGGACTGAGCAGTGCTGGGCTTATTAAGTTTAGGGCTGGACTCAGTCTTAAAGATTTTTGATTCTGAAATTTAACCTCTTCTTCAGAGCTCAAATTAAATATGCAGATTTGTCAGCTAACAAACATTTCTTTTCCTGGCAAGATGACCAGTATTCAGATCACAGTTATTGGAGCATAACAAGCAGAGGACTAATCAATTCAAATTTTAAAGACACTTTAAATACAGAGCCAAATATTCAATAAGTATTTGTTTTATAGAATAAAACAATCAAAGAATTGGTGGCTACAAGCATCTCTCTTATGCTTTAAGGTTACAATTAAATATAGGAGCTTGCTGAAGAAAGGAACAAGACTAGTACCTGATGCTTGTGATTTGCTAGTCATCGGAGTAGGCAGGCTCTGCTCCCGTGGGGCCTGTCCTCCTTGAGAGTTCTTGTCCCACAGATTCACATTCTTGTAGTTATAACTGCTAGGATCTCCCCACGCTGAAGTGCCATCATCAATATCCATTTTTCGACTGATTGACTGTGGAGAAGGTTCTTCCCAGCCACTAGGCTCCTCCTCTTTGGGGGCAGCTGGCTGTGGTCCGTTGTTCCAGTTTGGGTTTGGAGGCCGCCCATTACTTGGAGTTTGGGGTGGTGGACCCCAGGAACCAGAAGACTCCTGCTGTTGCTGCTGGTGCTGTTGCTGCTGCTTGTTCCAGGAGTTGGGCTGTCGACCCGTCTCGTTCCACGTTGAAGTTCTTTTACAATCATCCCATCCACCCTTTGAAGCAGAGCTTGTATTTGCACCATTACCCCAAGTTCCAATCTCATTCTGCCCACCTTCACCCCAACCAGACACTGGCTTGTTTCCTGCACTTTCCCAGTTACTGTTTTTTGTTTGGTCAACTTCCTCTCCCCAACCGTTCTTTCCAGAAGACCATCCTTGATTACTTTGCCGTCCACCCCACCCCTGATCCTTACTAGAGCTGTCATTCCAAGAGGAAGATGATTTTTCTTCTTGCCTTCCTCCTCCCCAATTAGAAGAATTGGAGTTCTTATAGTCATTCCATCCTCCAGTATTTTTGGGGTCCTTCCACTCCGCTGGGGTTGAGAGCTCACCCCATCCAGACTTGTTTTGATTGCTTTGGCTGGGTACATCGCCCCAGCCCCCTGAGTTCTTTGTCTGTGTGGCAGAGCTCTCCCACCCCTCAGTTCCTTTATCAGACTTCCCCTCGGGTCGTGGCATCTCTTCAATATCCCACACGGTATCTTGCTTAATTTGAGTCTGGCCCCAGCCGGTGTTTGAAAGCACTCGGGGGTCCAAGTCAGTCCTGCTCAGCAAAGTCTGCAGGACTGCCTGGCAATCAGGATGCGTAGGCCTGTATGATCGGCGTCCAGAATTGTGACTGTCACTACTTCCTGCTTTGTGGTTGCTTCCAGTGCTTTGACCTCCAACCTCACTTCCCGCAGAGCTGGAAGATCTTCCCCAACAGGGAGCCTGGGAATTGCCTTGGTTTTCAGGAAGAGGGTGGCCTTTTTGATTGTCCCATGCTCCAGTGCTAGAATTTGGTTGGTTTGGACCACTCCACTCTCCAATCTTCAGTTCATCAGACCCAGACAGCTGTTTCCATTCTCCCTGAGACACCCCAGATGTTAATTTGTTCCCTTCACCCCATTTGCTTTCATTTGCATGCTGAGGGCCAAAGTTCCAAGACCCACCACCCGTAGACCGGTTATTGTTATCCCAGGAATCACTTCTTGACCCATTAGATTTTTGAAGAGACGCTCCTTTCCAGGAGTCCTCTCTATCCTTTCCATTGTTCCCATGGTTTCCAGAATTGCTCTGCCCAGAGACTGTTTCAGTTCCAGAAGACCCCCTAGCTGTACCCCAAGATCCAACACTCCCAGTTTTTCTTTCTCCAGTGCTTTGAGAAGGGGTGTCAGTGCTCCTGGAAGGGTTCCCCAAGCCCATTTCAAAGGGCATTCCCTTATTCTCCGTAGGGTTTGGTGAACTTAAGTTCAAGGAGTTAGTGTTTCCATTTTTTGGTCCATCAGTGTTATGAATTTGAGCCTGTTCTCTGCCAGAGACAAAGTTAACACCCGCATTTTCCATCTTTGACTGCTGTTCCCTAGAGGTCTGACCTACTGTGCTAATCTGTGCATTGGAGCTACCACTATCAGATTCCAGAGTTCCTTTCCTAGAATTGCCCTCTTGAACCAGTGCTGGCCAAGCAGATGGGTTGCTATTTGGGTTAAAGTTGCTGAAACCAGAACCGGGACTGATTCTGTCTTGTCCACTCAAGTTCCTCCAATTACCTAGTCCATTGTTATTCTCGGCAGCAGGGTTGGAAGATTGAACAGATTTAGCCTTGGGATCAGATTTCCAGGCCCCAAGATTACATTCGTTTCCAGCGCTTCCAGACTGGCACTGGCTTCCTTTTCCTTTGTTACTAGTGGTGCTTCCTGGCAGAGCGTTCTTCTCCAAGCCAGGGTTCGAGGCACTGTTGTTATCGGTGGTGTTTTCGGAAGAAGACTCAGCATCTTTGCTGGCAATACAAGGCCACTCTTCCATGTCAGACCCGTCTACAATCACCTTGTCCCAGATGTGAGTTGGGTTGGCGTTGGTGCCGCTGTTGGAGGAGGCTCCAGGACCCCAAGTGGAATTTGCATAATTTGAAGCAGCAGCACCTCCAATTGCTGAATCTAAAAGAAAAAAAAAAAACAAAAAAAAAACCAACAACAATACACCCAAAAAGGTCGTTAGTAATCCATATTATTTACAAGCACAGAACATCAGACTTTTGACATCAGTTATCCCATTTATTTTGCAGAGCATAAACTCCACAGTAACAGCTGCAGCAGTATTCCTAAGTGAATATATACTGTTACTCCCAGTACTAGCTCATATGACAACTTCCATGAAAATAAGGCAAACAGCTTAAAAAACTGGGTAACTCCCCTCCCAGACTCAATTCCTATGCTATATATTCCAAAGTAAAGATCACAATTTCTGGTTGCTAATACTTTCAATAGAAAATAAGATCAGCTTCCAGTGCCTGTCTGAGGCTCCCAATTTGCTAGCTTAAATAATGAACATCCAATGAATGCCTTCCAGATTCCCCTTCAATGAGGGCCACCAATGAGGATCCAGACCTTACAGCAGCAATTAAAACTCCCTTGTAAGTTTTGAATATTGATGAACAGTAATTTGTCTTCAACCACTAAGCCCCACCCACCAAGACCCAAAAGATCAAGCAGTTCCCAAGTACATTCTGTTCCTTCTGTTGCTTTAACCTCAAATGCAAACTGAACAATAGCAAGGAAGTATGACTCCACTGATATTTTTATCCATCTATCTTTTTAGCACAGAGTCACCCTTTTTTTTCCCTTCCAATTAAAAAACTTTGATTACACAGATCACAGGAAGAACTTAAAGAGGACAAAGACAAGCTCAAAAGACTGCAAGGTTGCAAGGTTTTGAAGTTAGAAATGGGTCAGTCAATGAATGGTTCAGCTATAGGCAGCTCTGAGCTTAGCAAGATCTTCAAATTAGTGACCTTAACAGAACATTTAATATCTCTGAAGACGTTCTAAAAGTATTAAGACTGGGCTGCTTGCTCACATATCGCATGCTAGGACACAATTTAATGGATTGCTCTATGAAACCAGACTTCCCTTGCTGTTTCTGACAATGGCAATAATCATACCTACTGAAAGACTTACACCAATAAAATTTACACCTTTTTGTCCAAAACTGTCTTGTTATGTCCTGAATTGTCATTAGTATTGGAAGAATTACATAGACCACCCATCGTCTCCCCATCAATACCTCTGCATTGGTATGAGACAATAGTATAATTGGTGTCATCTTTCAGGACACTAGTTTTGCTAGAAGGATTTCAATCCTGGTAGAAAAAGGTCAGTGTGAAGAAGGATTATGTGTTGACTTTTAATATTAAATCCTCACCAACACCACCTATGATCATCTGGTGAATATAAGAATGTGAGCAAGTACATAGGCTGCATGATCTTCCCCAGTGAGAAACCTGCTTTTGTTTTCTTTCATGTGGCATGAATTTAACTACAGTATCAGTGCATACATGCTTGATCAAATTGGGCCAAAACTAAAGTCCAGTTTGTCAACAGCCAGATGTGAGGTGGGATAAACTATGTACGAGGCAGATAACACCACACTTTCACAAGCAGTTTGATGGAGCACCTGAGACAGTCCCAGTGTCTCTCTTGTTCACCTGCTCATTCCCACTCCTCTGGCACACCTACACCCTCACATGCTAGCATCTATGTTCTCACTGATATCCGGCTGGGTCAATGGGTAAAAGCTGACTGAAATCAGCTTTAAAAACCAACCTGATTTAATTTTAATACGAGTCAGATCCCCAGCCCAATTAACTAGTTATGGTGCAGAAAAATGGATAGGCTGAGACAGGTCTCAAGGACCCATATCTTTCCTGGCACTCCTGGATTTACATCATGATAATTCAATCAAACACTGGCTAATACAGCCATGTAACCTCTTAGTTGTTAATGCACCATTATATGAAGTGTAGAAATGAGAATGCATAATACCAAATTTCAACCTCAGAAAAACAAAAATTAAGTGTCAAATAAATACATACAACTTAAGGAGCCTCTCAAAATACTTCAAAATGGTCCTCATATAGTATGTCCAACAGCAAAAAAATGTCACTCAGAAGTATTGAAAACTTTTAGAATGCTTCACTAACACAAATTTTCCTTAGTCAGTCTACTACAATAACTGTGAAGGCATACGAGTACCAGTAACAATTTTATGTAGGAACTACAGACTTCAGTGCATGTTTTGTTTCAGGTATTTTATCAAAATAAGTTATCTCCAAGACATCTGTTTTTGCCATTGTAGTTTGACATTCACCTTCTTTATTACACAGCTATTATCAAAGACAAGATAAATACTCTGTGTCAAACAGGGATTTGCTACAAATGAATTCAAGTAGTGAAGCCACAAAACAAATTGAATTATTAATTTTCCTAGAATCCTATTTAATAAGGGCAGACATCCCATTTAGCTCACTTCATTCTATACAAGTCACTTTTATTTTTAATTCCAAACTATAGAGACCTAAAAAAAGTTTGATTTCCACGATGGTAAAAAAATCATGATCCCATTGATGATTTCCAAAGAAAATTCAGACATACCGGTATTACTATTTTCTTCTTCTTGACTTTCAAGTATTTAATATTTTAACATTGCTAACATTAAATTTAATATTTTAACATTCTCTTATTGTTAGAATTGAAGCTGTCCTTTACAGGTGACAGGTGACCTAAGTCTTTCTTTAGAGGGCAGATATTTTGAGTGGAATTTTGTTTGTTTTACTATTATAATTAAAGAAGAAATATTACAGCTACTGCAATTCACCAAGGGTCTAAAAAATTCAGGAGCAGCTATAACTTCCCCATGCTCACCAAACAACCCTAAAATCAGTTTATCTTCTGGAATACAAAATGAATGGAAAAGTAAGAACAGTCACCACTTGTACAAAAAGGCTTATCTAAGTACAAAAAATAAGATTACTACCAAAAAACCAGAAGTGAAGAACAATAGGTCGTCCTTCTGTTTCATCCAGACAAGACGTGACAGACACCTGCCCTTTGCAGACCTGGCATCTACATGTCTGTTTTACGAGATGATACAAAAATGTGACAAGACAGGAAATTCATGTCAAAGAAACCTGAGGAGCCATTAGGAGCTAGTCAGAGACAACCATAAAATGCTATTTATTTACACTTTATGTTTACCTTGCTGCAGAACATTTCAGCAACCAATTAAAATCAATCCAAATAAACTTGAAAAAATTAAACCTCTCGCTCCATCTAGTAGTAAAAATGCTATTCACTGCTGCCAACAGAAGCCTGGACACTGAAACAATTGAAGGTCCCCAAAAGCAGCCTGTGTTTTGTTATATAATGGCAGGCTTACAATTTCGGGCATCTCTTTTCTGCCATGCGCCAACACCTTCCTTTAATATTATTTATTATCATCACTTGCCTGTTGCAGTCCCACTGTCGCTCTGCAGCAGTGCTCCTGTCACTGGTTGTGCGTTGCTGGGGTTTGCTCCTGGTGCTGCTGGGGAGGGAGGCCCTGCTCCACCCCCAAGGAGCATGCAGGATGGCGGAGGGGGCTGCCCACGTTTCAGTAACACTTTGTGGTCCTGCTGGCAACGGAATCGCGGCGGCACCTCCCGAGGCATGTAGCGGGCGGCGCTTGGCGGTTGTCCGTTCGGCACTGCCACCCTTTTGGCATTGTTGCCACCATTGACTGGTGGCGATGGAGAGTTGCCAATTGGGCTGGCAGCCACTGGTTGGCTTAAACTTGGTTTCGTCACTTCGGGCACTGAAAAACAGGAAGGACGAAAATCAGAAGTTTTTCCACTTAAACCTGTGCTAGCTACAAGAACTCATTGTGACTCTTTGCCTTCATTATTTTATCTCTGAAATACTATGCAGCTTCTACCTTCTCAACAACGAAAAACAATTTAAAGAAGCAGGAAAAAACAATAGCAGCAGACCTTTTGCTTCCATGTGCAACTCTTGTCTAGAGTGAAACTCCACATTCATCAATTTTGCTCTAAGTCCAAAATTTCTTGCAAATGTAAAGCTGGCAAAAAATATACCCTAGACAGTGACTAATTTTAAAATATTAGTCAAATATAACTGGCTCTACCTTCCTGATCTTCAACTGTTTTCTGGGTTGTTATACATCATCATCTTTATGGGAAATGTGAAATCAGAACCCAAGTTTCCACATGTTCTAAGCTACACAGCCACTGCCTAAACAAACAAAAAGATAGGAAATAATCTGCCTCCTTCTGAATTCAGAGGTAACAAATCTGAGTTGTCTGTGCTGCTCTTCAGCAAGGCAGTAATAGCTGACTCTCACCCAAAAGACAGTCCTATACACAAAGCACCTGTATTTGGCTCACTTAAGGTTGCCCTGCTGGTCACCAGGTGCCCCTATAAGCAAAGACAAGCTGCTCCTGAGGACTATTATGTACTGGAGAAGAAAACCACAAATCCTTGAGGAGCTGACACTATCACAAAACTTGCTTAAGAGACTCTAGACAAACTAAACACAATTAGTAAAACTTTTACTCTTACGAATGTGAGATCAACACAAGTGGGTCTCTCTTTGGCAACATAAATGCATTATTCTCCATATTTTATTTTTAAAAGTGTTTTCCAATATCTCTAGATAGGCTTCATTGCCCAAACTCCAAAAAGTTCTTGTTAGCCATAAAATCAAGTTACTATTTTAGTGCTTTTCTTTCACTTTTCTTTCACAATTTCCCCACATAATTTATTAAAATCTGATACACAAAGCAAGATTAAATAGATTTTTACATCAGCTAAATTATTTAGTCCAACTTTCAAGATCCTCACTCATCAGTCCTATCTTTTCTACTGGACTATTCTGTGCCTGAATTTAAGTTTCCAAATCCAAGTAATTTTCATTTATTTTGGTACCTCACTATAAGCAGTACTTTTGCTGTCTTTCATTTACTTCATAAAGGTGGTTTCAGTCTTGGTTATTTGTCTAAAACCGTTGTAAAACAGAGAACAGAGTATTTTAGCTAACCTAACTTATCTACAATCCTCATTCTTCCTTGAAGTATTTCAATGTTAACAACACATCTGCAGAATAGTTGTTGCTTCTCCGTTTTAATCACCTCAGCTTATTTCTTCTGAATACTCATATTCAGTGTTTCATCTTTACTCATATGTCCCCATTCTTTTCTAAGAGTTTTGGTAAAGAACTGAATCTTGGCTCAAGTCAACAAAAGTACTCCTTAGTATCAAAGATTCTTACCTTTGGTTTTTTGATCTGTGACCTGCAAATTAAGAGCAAGAATGTAAATACAGTTTTAAGCAACGCAAAACAAACATTGAACATGTTGTGCTAAATCACAACCTTAATATATTAGCAAAAGAACAGAATTTGCTGTTGAATGAAAACCAACTGATGAACTACAAGTCTAAACAGTACTCCTAGTTACATATACACATATGTATCAAAGGTTTTCAAAAGCACTACAACTGCTGCAGTAACTCTGCCTGATGCAAAAGTCCTTGGCAGAAACAATCATACTTCGCTTGTGATTTTAAGTACTCAGTCCTCCTCCTCATCCCAAACATGGGCTTCCAAAGCACAAATAAACATGTGCTATAGTATTACAGTTCTCTCAGATTTTGTAGATGAAGTATTTCTGTTAAAGTGTAACAAAGCCTTCCTTCTGTTGAGGGTATCCTTACAGTAGACTGTTGGGGCCTGAAGTAACCACAGCAGTCTGTCTCTCTGCCATCTTCTCATTTCACCTTTCCCAGAACATCTCTTCCAAGGAGAAGTAATTCTAAACCTTACTGGATTAATTTCCACACTCACAAAGAGGACCAGCAACACCTATAAAGTAAATCTACTGAAAGCAGCAAGAAGTCAATGACTGAAATGAGCATTCATGCTGGGCAAAATACTCAATATGGGTTTGTATTTTGTATCTGTATCCTACATTGTTTCAGCATAGAAGATTTCAATCTACAGTAGTGACAAAGACATCATTAGTATATTCTCTGGAATAGTGTGCATTGTAGCATTTTTTAACCTGTCCATCATGAGTTCCACTACACAATAATGAAAAAAAACTAAAGATCATCATGTGTCAGGTTCTATGACACCTATTCTTAAAAGAAATTGCTGAACTAGTCCATATTTCTGGAAAGCACACAGCAACAGTATAGAATAATGAAAGCACAAGTAAAAAGCAGCTTATTGTTGAAACTAACCAAGCCAGAACTCCTTTGTACGGTAAAGAATAAGAAGACAAACTGCACTAAATTGCTATGGCATTGTTTACTTTGGAAAGATGAAAACCGCAACACGCAAAGTGTAACATTCACTAAGATATAAAATCTTAAGCATTGTAACCTCACAGACATATAGTATCCCAAAGCCTCAAGGACAATAAAAACATATTCGTACCAAAACCATGTCTGTACCAAGCCACACATCAATTTTCAACTTCACTTATGAAAAGTCCTGTATGGATCAAATCACATCATCTTCTGTAACAGTTAAAAATTCTGTTACACACTTAATTGACCCTGATGCTTGGCTACTAAAGGAAAAGGGGAAAAAAATTAATTAACACAATCTGGTATTGCTGATAAGTTATTACTATTACTATAGTCAACAGTAGACACATTTAGTGTCTTGTCTACTTGTCATTTAGTAACTTGTCTACTTGGGTAAAAAACATTTTACTGAATCCTTGAAAAATTCTACATGATGAACACAAATTACTTTAGGCAAAAAAAAAAAGCCAAAAAACCTTCTGCCTATGTCTCTCTCCTCTAGTCAAAATGATCGGGTTTTATGATTGCTTTAATCTAAAATTCAAAAGCTGAAAAAATGTGACAATGTCTCAAATTTACAGCTGTCATCTCTCTGTGGGCAGCCTGTGAGCATCAGCAGGGCAGAAGCATCTACAGTGAATGGGTAGCTGGAATAAATCTCAGCCAACTGACAAGCTATCAAATAACTCCCTGGACACTAACTACTGGTGTATTTAAGCTGTGAACTTGCGTGATTTTTCTTTAAATTTTATTTTTTAAGTTTCAGACAATCCAGACAGAACGGTTGTTTCATGTTACTTAGTTTGAGAATGGTGCCCTGAAATCACTGCTTATTTGGTGAACACCTCCACAGTCAGTAAGAATCAACACACACATTTATGTTTTGTCCATTTGGCTGCCTACTTTGCTATTCTTAGCTATCTCTAGCTATTACTGTCAAGTTTGCCTTCTAGGAGATTAAATTACTTAGTCTTTACCCTTCCTGAGAGTGTGGCAAAATATGTACTGAACACCTTACTAGGTGAGAGACCACACAGGAAAACTGGCAAATCTCTTTTGTATTCAAAGCATCAATTCCTCAGTAAACACAGCACTGTTATCAAGATGATCAGTACAGCCTTTTCAAGTTTCCCTTTTATCAGTGAGTATCAGCACATAATCCTCAAGTCGCTACTCTTTATTCATAAGGGTCTTCTCTTTCTGGTTTCTACATACCTTTTCTGAACTTGAACATTAAACAGCACTAACACTGAGGCAAAAAGACACTGGAGAGACCTTATCTGTAGCAACTGCTCTTTCACACTGTTATTTGGGGATATATCAATTGGATGAAGACAACTGATACACATTTATCTGTACCCAGTTTAAACTGATAGACTCAATTTGGTGAAAAAGCCAGATTACAAAGGACCCTGGATAAGACAAGATTTAACTGAAGTTTGTGCTGTCCTCAGCAGAAACTCAGAGAATGTAGGAGTGAACACTGTGATCTTCCATCACCTGATCTGTTACTGAAGCAACTGAAAAGCAGAGTACTGAAAGAAAAGCCTTTTGCTCTCAGTTTCACATAATCATTGACGTTGGAAGGACCAGCCTCTGGAAATTTAATCCACAGTTCCGCCCTTGTCCTCCACCTGGCCCCAAGAGACTTCTCAATTCGAAACAAAATCATCAAAACTGGATTGCACAGGACCACATGAAACTCAGTTTTGAGTATCTAAAGACAGAGGCACCACAACCCCTCTGGGAAACCTGTTGCAGTGGTTGCCCAGCCACTTATATGGACAAAAAAGGAGTCTTCTTATGATTAGGCAGACTTTCGATATGTACATAATGCCTTGTGCTTTGCCACTGGGCACTGTGGAGAAGAGTGCTTCCACCTTTTTACTCCCTTCCACAAAGTATTAATATGTACTGATGAGACCCCAAGCCTCCTCTCCTCCACGAGGAACAGTCATAACACTCCCAGCCTTTCCTCATTTGTCAGATCCTCCAGTCCCTTATTAATCTTAAAGTCATTTTGCTGGACTTGTTCCAAGGTGGTTGCACCTATCCTATACTGAGACTTTACCAGTAAAAAACACGGATAACGCCCTAAGAGACTCAAGCTCATATGTCAAGTTAATTCGTAGAACAACCTGCCAGATGTTTTTTGCAAAATACCGACCTTCTAGTACACCAAGTGTCAAACTCATTTTCTGAGCTGAACCAATTTTTGGTGACTTACAGATTTTCCACAACTCAGACTTGAACTGGCAGACTTTAGCAAAAGTGCTATTAGCTACATAAAATGTAAAATGCAAGTAATACTTAGCCAAAAACGCAAACAGAATCTTCAGTAGTAAATATTTCATATAAACTTCCTTAAGGATTTCAAAATAAAAAAAAAAAAAAAAGCATCTTCCTGCTCTAATAAATATTTATTCAGTTTTACTGCAAGAATTGCAAAAGCCCATCAGTATTTCAATCCACAAATACCTCAAACAAGCAGCAGTTGTGTAGAGAGAGATCTAAAGAAGCCATACTGAGTAACTTAAACACTTTGTATCAAAAAAATTCTTTATTTTACATAGCACTCTAAAGAGAAGAAATACCCAAGTTAAACACTTCAGCTGCAGCAAAATGATGCAAAAAAGTGTCGTTAAAGAAGCACCAGTCTAAGCAATCAATTTTTAAGTCCAAATACAAACAATTTAACATCTTATTACTGCCAATACTGTTTGTTTCAGCTGGATAAAAGAATTCAAATATCAAAACCCACCTTCTGAGCAGAGTCCTTCTTTTTCTTATCCTCTTTCTTCCTTTTCTTGTCTTCCATTAACTGTTCTTCCCTTTCTTGCTCCTTCTCTCTGCCAAAATATGAAAAACATTGGTCTGAGTACAATCAAGTTGTATAAGAGCCACACATACTATAAATCTCTTCCCTACAAGGAAGACAGTCAAGTTATCAGATTCCTCTTATCGTACTTAATTTCTATCTGAGGGTTTCTGTCAAATTGTGATAAGAAAAGCACCTTTTAGCTCAGTATGGCCACTATCATGCCATGTGCTGCACAAAGGAAAATTCTCTTTTTCACTTCATGTCTGTTATGGCAGCTCTCTATATAAATTAATCACATGCCTGATAGTAAAAAAATATCTTCAAGACATTTTGGCCAAAGTACTCCTATAATTGGGTCATGCTATTATTTAACGAAGAGCCTCATGAATCTTTTCATATGGTAAAAAAATAAAAAGGGAAGTTGTAATTTAATATAAGATAGTTTGGTCTGATATAACATTTATCTTCACAAGGGGAAGAGATTATTCTATTGCCTGTAGCTATGTCACTTGTAAGAGACTAGAAGTGTCATATCAAATCAAACCTATCATTTATTATACAAATCTCTAATTTAATTTCTAGGCTATTGTATCCACCCACAGAATTTTTTTGTGATGAAACTTGTAATATAAATTACTTTCCAGGGAATCTATTTTTTCCCACAAGAACATTCTTTCAAAAAAAGGAAAAAAATACATACAGCTGCTATTGTTGTCAAGCCATCATCTTGTTGCTATGTTCTATATTAAATATGAAAGTGCCGTGGAATAGTTAATTTACTGCATACATACTATTGGCTGAGCTGTTTCTATGGTGAATCAATTTTTGTTAACCAGTTCTCTTCACCTCTTAAAAAAAAAATTAAGGCCAAGTTTCCAGCTTACTTTATTTCTTTTTATAGGGAAAGATTAAGACAAAGAGCATTAATGTAAAAAGATTATTTGACAGGTGAGGAGTAGCATCAGAGACTCTACAAATGGGAACCAACTAACAACTATAATCCACAATCTTTAAGAAGAAAATTTTATAAAAACCAGAACAGTATTAAAAACAAAACCAGAGTTTATAATAGTACTGAACAATTTCTTGTATTTACACCTAAATCAAAGGACTTTTTTGACTACAGTTTAAAAAAGAGTTGAGTTAGTTTTGCTGTCATGTTGTACAGACTTTTCCTTGAATTGCCTCTATACAGTAAAAGAAATAACCTTCTTTTCATTTTCACTAAATACTCTGAAGCCAGAGTGCAAAGAAATATTTACGCAACTGATTCCTACAAAAATATTTTGAGATACTATATATTAATAGCTTCTTGATTGAGAACTTCCAGAACACTCTAAATGACAAAGATCCTACAGAGAGTAATACATGTCTTCCTGGTTTCCTGAAGCTGGTCTCCCCTGCTTCATGGATGGATAAAATTGATAAAGGCAAGATGGGTCCTTAGTAACAACATCCTGAAGTAACCACCAAGTGCAATTACTACACTTTTTCCAGTGAAACACTGGGGAGCTTGGTGTACTTTGCATGGTTTGTCATAACATTGAGACAGACATTTTCATTTTCTTTGAGTCATAGATTGTGAGCAAGATGAAAAATCCTCCTGTGACACCCTCATCATTCAAAATTGCTATGACTTCAAATTGTTTATTACTTTTATCTTGTCAAGCTGTGTATGCCTTTTGGGCTGCAGTTCAAGTTTTAACTACACAATTTTCAAACAACTTTCTTGCAGCGGGCAAATGTTTAAAAAGAAGTTTAAAAGGAGATGTCTCAAAAGAGCTGCAGAAAAATGGTAGGATCAAAATATGAAATGACTTCCATTAACTGCTTGGCACACAGGCATCTTTCTACTTAAAAGCACTTTCCTTACTTTTGTGAGCAGATGAGAAGGGAATAGAAAAGAAAGCAAAAAGAACCACATTCACAATCACAGCTGAAGCTATGGCTTACAGTGACATGCAGCCCTAAAAGGATTCCAGGACAAAAGATCCATAGCCTGAAAGTAATCACCTAGTTATGGCCTGCCTTTGCAATAAATTTAGGACATGGAGATTGCTATTGCTGCTGCCTTGTTTTTTGATCTATGTGGAGTAAGGCTGCATGTTGTTTTGCATGACAATCTTCCCTTCTGCTCTTTTAGTAGAGATTTAATATCCCATTGGGTGTATCCTCAACAACCACAATACAGCAGCAACCAACACCTGGTTTACTTCATTTACCAAAACTTTATTTAGGCTCCAATTCATGTAAGCTCTACTAAGGTGGAAGGGACCTATCTGAACACTTGGGCTACATCACAGGTACGGGACCGGGACCACAGAGCTCGTGACAAAGCGCTGGGTGAAACCTCACAAACATGTCAGAAGTACAAAGTTACATTTTCCAAATGGCAGAGCAAGAATAGATGCTACAGACACACTAACAATGTACAACCACAGTGAAAGTTCACTGAACTAGAAGGGTAAGTAAGTGTCTCATTGTTATTCTGGGTATCATAAGTGCTGTCTTCCCAGTTCTACTGTTTGATGCATTTCACTAACTTTTATTTCATGATCAATGATTTTCCTCTTCAGCTGGATGCAAGATGCTTGTTGAATACAACTTGTAGTGTTAAATGCCCTGAGAAATTCAACATCAATCACCTCCTTTATTTATTCCAGAGATAATGTTGCCCATTAGCTCCTCATTAGCCAAAAGACAGCTCTTCCTGGCCTGTTGAAAACTCAGGGCTCCATCGTGTGCTTTCCAGTAAACAGCTGCTCACACTGAGGAGATCAACAAGGGGAGAAAACCCATCAACTCCAAGCAGAGTGAATTTAGAGTAATACAATGGGGTGTGGTTCCGGGCTTTGTTATGAGCACACTGTAATGGCAACACGGCCGCACCACAACCCTGAAGAGGAAGTCTGCTAAACAGCAATCAGCAGCCAGCTTTTTAATCTAGTTTTTTTTTCAAGAAAGCATGTGGTGATCTAAAAATATGACCTAATTTCACTTGAAGATCTCTCACAAAATCTTAGAATCAACATTACTGAAAAGCATTTAAAAAGCATATTACAGATTTTAATTCCAGGTATTTAAAGTAAGGCAAATTAACAGTTTACAAATTATGAGAAATTGTAAAATGTAATCCAAAACAGTATCTTCATTCTAAAAAAACCCAAACCCAAATAAACTCAGTACTTGTGATGCATCACACCTTATCTATGTTCTTAAAACAACCTCTTCTAGCTAAGTCAAAAGAAATTACTTTAGAGAGCAGAATTTTTTTACACTAACTACAGACGTAACAGAAAACAGTTGTGAAGTCCATATTATTAAAACATCCAATTCAGGGGGAAAAGAAAGCAAAAACAGACGTTCAAGAAATGTGTTCTCCCTCAAAACAATCTACCTGTTTTGAAAATTCTAAATTTCCTGTACAATTCTAATACTATTTTTTCCAGAAAATTCTATTTTAGAGAGTTGTTCTGACAACATTATGGACTTAAGGGGACAGAAGTTGCCTTCGAAGCTCTTGCTGTCATAAGCTGAACTGTGAGACAAGATGACGTGCAACATATTGCATGCTATCTGCTGCCAACACACTTAGATAGGCAGAGATAAAGCGTCACACAGTATTAGTCTACACAAACCCCATAATCCTGTAAGGTCACTCTCAAACTAAAACTGCACAAAAAAATGTAAGTGAAATGTAAGAAATGAAAAATTCTAGAATGACGCATTAGTGCATGCAACTTCCAGTTCCTTTTCCAACAGCCCAGGACAATGGTGTGAGAGTTTGGAAGTTAAGTTCCTCATAGGTGAAGACATGCACTACCAGAACTGTGAGTCCTCTTCCCTCCTCCTGACCTCACACCTTACCTCATTTCAGTATAGTCAACTTGAGTTAGCTACACTAGGACACAGGAGTGGCAGTAAACTTCTACAGGTGCACCCTGTTCTCTGTATTGTGATGAGCACAGGGCAATTTACAAACCTGCTTCCAAATTGTGAGCCAGCTTGAGCATCCTCTTTCTGAACACTGGGATTCTGAAATCACACTTGCAGGACCAGAAGCACTTTTGTATCTATATAGCTACCATGTTGCCTGAACAACTGCTAAATCTCCCCTCAAGATTTAGCATCAGTCACAACTAGCCAGGGCTAAAGGCCTTCACCATATACAGAGAATGATTTACATGCACAGACCACTGTCACTTAGAAGCAAAACTTAATAACTCTTTCTTACAGATAATAATTTTATTAATAACTTAATAATGGTTATTAATAATATTAAGTCATTAATAACTTAATAACTATTTCTTACAGACAAGCCTCTAGTGATCCAAAATACCAAATACCTTTCAAGTCTTTTGGAAACAGATGGGAAGACTCAAAACTTGATTAAATCAGAAATTTATCCAAAAATAAGGTATCCAATTTTGGTCAAGATTTGAAGCAAAAGTATTTCAAGTGAACTCTAACTATAAGCACGTAGCTTCTCAACATTGCTGAGTTTTCTCGGTACTGTGATAAGTTATACAGCCTGGATACCAGCAGAATTAGGCATCACACACTGGTGTGTCAATGTGTTGCAAAACACTTTTAACAAGCTCGAGCCCAGGTGCAACTTCCATGACAGGAGTTTCCCCCAATCCATACAGGGACAAAATCTCTTAGAGGAAAGTAAAATGTCTTCAACAGTGCTATTTCATGAAGACCTTGCTGCTGCCACTGGCAAGTGGTTTTCATTTTCTTCCACTTTCTCTTCATCAAGCTCTGTCCTTGACCTTCACTTGTTTGGACCTTCTCTGGAACTTAGCTGAGCATATGGGAAGCAAATTCAACTCACAATAATGCATTAAAAAGCATAAGATGATTAGAACTATGGGCCATAAGCAATGAAGAAAAGCCATACTACAAACTCCCAAGTGAGTTCTTTGAGGTGCAAGCCCTTCTTGCTGCAGTAATGAACACTGGCAGTCTACAGCTTGAAATGCTCAAAATGGATGAAAGCTTTTATATCATATCAGGAAGCTGGAT